AACAAGACCTACATCTCTGCTTTATTGACTTGGTCAAAGCCTATGATACCATCAGTAGGCCTGGGCTCTGGGTTGTTCTTCGTGCTTTCAGAGTCCCTGACCCTCTGCTCACGATCATTAAGGATCTTCATGATGGTGAGCGGGCCCGGGTAAAACTACGTGGCCGGGAGTCGGAGCCTTTCCCTGTACACCTTGGGGTGCGACAGGGATGTCCTCTGGCTCCCACATTATTTAACATCTATTTTGACCGCGTAGTTCGTGAAGCCTTCAATAGCTGTACCGGGGGAATTTCCATTTGGTACAGATATAATGGGAGGCTGATCGATGCCCGGGTGCGATCAAGGGATGGCTCCCTATTGGTCAACCACGTTATGTATGCCGATGATTTGGTAATAGCTGCTCATTCAGAAGAGGAGTTGGAGACGCTGCTGCTGAGACTGGAGCCCCATCAAAACTAAGCACCTGCCTGGGTATTTTGTACCATCGGACACTCCACCCCCACAACTCCCAATTGGTGATGGGGCAGTTGTGGAGAGAGTGGAGAGTTTCCCATACCTGGGCAGTGTGCTCATGACCGGCTCCGGTTTATCAGCAGAGGTCTCACTCCGAATCAGTCGAGCGGCAATATCTTTTCATCGGTTGCGTAACGCTGTGTGGAAGCTACCTGGTCTGTCGCTCCGCACAAAGCTTCAGGTCTTCTCGGCCACGGTCATTCCCTCCCTTCTCTACGCTTGCGAGACGTGGACCCCCCTGGTGGAGCATCTTTGCCGGTTGGAAACATTTAGGCTGGCCTGCCTACGATCCATCCTGGGTTTCACCTTGCCACCCCTCCCCCCTGACCCCTCCCCCCTGACCCCTCCCCTCTGACCCCTCCCCCCTGACCCCTCCCCCCGCTTCTCTCCGCCCCTCCCCCCGCCCCTCCCCCCGCTCCCCCCGCTCCCCCCGCCCCCTCCCCGCCCCTCCCCCCGCCCCTCCCCGCCCCTCCCCCCGCCCCTCCCCGCCCCTCCCCCCGCCCCTCCCCGCCCCTCCCCCCGCCCCTCCCCCCGCCCCTCCCCCCGCCCCTCCCCCCGCTCCCCCCCGCCCCTCCCCCGCTCCCCCCCGCCCCCTCCCCCCATCCCCCCGCCCCTCCCCCGCTCCCCCCCCCCAACCCCTCCCCCCGCTCCCCCCGCCCCTCCCCCCCGCTCCTCCCCGCCCCTCCCCCCGCTCCCCCCCGCCCCTCCCCCCGCTCCCCCCCGCCCCTCCCCCCGCTCCCCCCCGCCCCTCCCCCCGCCCCTCCCCCCGCTCCCCCCGCCCCTCCCCCCGCCCCTCCCCCCCCCTGACCCCGCCCCTCGACAGCTGAAACCCGCGAAGCCGCTGAGGGGAACGCGATTTGGAGGCGGCATCGATTTTAGTTTATTCTCCCCTCAGAATTAAATTTTTATTAATCTCACGAGACAACGCCGCCGCCGCCGCCGCAGCCGAGGAGGTGCCGGCGGCGTTTAAGCGAGGTGAGAATCGTACAAAAATCGACTTAAAGACGAGGGATTATTTTTTTCACCCCTCCGCTCTCGCAATATTGTTGTCGGCGCGCGGAAGGAGACGACGGGGCTCTCGGGTTTTGCGTTGAGCGGAGCGGCGGTGACGCGGCCGCGGCGGAGGGATACGGCGCGGTGCGCTGGCCACTTCGCTGAGGTGATCTCGGTTTGTTGCAGAGATTTTCGTTTAAAGTTTTTAAAGTTTTAAACTCGCGGATGAATTAAAAGTTAACGCGTCGCGCACACGGCAATGAAAGCGCGTTTATTATTGTGCATTTGTGCGCGTTGTCTGTGTGTGTCGACATTTCACGGGTGTGTAATGTATTAGTGTGTACACGTGTGTTTGTGTACTGTATGTGTACTGTGTGTGTGTACTGTGTGTACACGTGTGTTTGTGTACTGTATGCGTACTGTGTGTGTGTACTGTGTGTGTACTGTGTGTACTGTGTGCACACGTGTGTTTGTGTACTGTATGTGTACTGTATGTGTACTGTGTGTGTACTGTGTGTGCTGTGTGTACACGTGTGTGTGTACTGTGTGTGCTGTGTACACGTGTGTTTGTGTACTGTGTGTGTACTGTGTGTACTGTGTGTGTACTGTGTGTACACGTGTGTTTGTGTACTGTATGTGTACTGTGTGTACACGTGTGTTTGTGTACTGTGTGTGTACTGTGTGTACACGTGTGTTTGTGTACTGTGTGTGTACTGTGTGTGTACTGTGTGTACACGTGTGTTTGTGTACTGTATGTGTACTGTGTGTGTACTGTGTGTGTACTGTGTGTACACGTGTGTTTGTGTACTGTATGTGTACTGTACGTACACGTGTGTTTGTGTACTGTATGTGTACTGTATGTACACGTGTGTTTGTGTACTGTATGTGTACTGTGTGTGTGTACTGTGTGTACACGTGTGTTTGTGTACTGTATGCGTACTGTGTGTGTGTACTGTGTGTGTACTGTGTGTACTGTGTGCACACGTGTGTTTGTGTACTGTATGTGTACTGTATGTGTACTGTGTGTGTACTGTGTGTGCTGTGTGTACACGTGTGTGTGTACTGTGTGTGCTGTGTACACGTGTGTTTGTGTACTGTGTGTGTACTGTGTGTACTGTGTGTGTACTGTGTGTACACGTGTGTTTGTGTACTGTATGTGTACTGTGTGTACACGTGTGTTTGTGTACTGTGTGTGTACTGTGTGTACACGTGTGTTTGTGTACTGTGTGTGTACTGTGTGTGTACTGTGTGTACTGTGTGTACACGTGTGTTTGTGTACTGTATGTGTACTGTGTGTGTACTGTGTGTGTACTGTGTGTACACGTGTGTTTGTGTACTGTATGTGTACTGTACGTACACGTGTGTTTGTGTACTGTATGTGTACTGTATGTACACGTGTGTTTGTGTACTGTATGTGTACTGTATGTACACGTGTGTTTGTGTACTGTATGTGTACTGTATGTACACGTGTGTTTGTGTACTGTATGTGTACTGTATGTACACGTGTGTTTGTGTACTGTATGTGTACTGTGTGTATACACTGTGTACACTGTGTGTACTGTGTGTGTATACACTGTGTGTATACACTGTGTGTACACGTGTGTGTACTGTGTGTACACTGTTTGTGTACTGTGTGTACACTTTTTGTGTGTGTGTACTGTGTGTGCGTGTACGTCTGTATGTGTACGTCTGTGTGTGTGTACACTGTGTGTACACTGTGTGTGCACTGTGTGTGGGGAGCGGTGGGTGTAGTGGTTAGCGCCACGCTGCGCTACGAACCCGGCGACCCGAGTTCGATTCCCGCTCACGGCCAACACCGGCGGTGACGATTATCTGAACCGGTCCCGGGCGTCCCCTAGGTCGACTCGGCCTCAAATGAGTACCTGGTGCGGTGTGTAGTAAACATCGCCACTGGGGAGACAAAGGTGGCTGGGCGTGGTGCTGGCCACCCACCCCCTCGTGTGCCACAGTGCCGGCAGCCTTCATAGGTGCTACTCGCTAACAGCACTTGCCCCGACAGTCTGTAGAGGCTACACGGGGGATCTTTGTCTGTGTTCATCTGCATCGTCTTCATCTTGGAATTCCTCGCATTTCACCTCCACCACATTCCTTCCCTCTGAGGCAGGAGACGCACACACTCACCACACTCACCACACTCACCACACTCACCACACTCACCATACACACTCACCACACTCACCACACTCACCATACACACTCACCACACTCACCACACTCACCATACACACTCACCACACTCACCACACACACTCACCACACTCACCATACACACTCACCATACACACCACACTCACCATACACACTCACCACACTCACCACACTCACCATACACACTCACCACACTCACCACACACACTCACCATACACACCATACACACTCACCACACTCACCACACTCACCATACACACTCACCACACTCACCATACACACTCACCACACTCACCATACACACTCACCACACTCACCACACTCACCATACACACCATACACACTCACCACACTCACCACACACACCATACACACTCACCACACTCACCACACTCACCACACTCACCATACACACTCACCACACTCACCACACACACTCACCATACACACCATACACACTCACCACACTCACCACACTCACCATACACACTCACCACACTCACCATACACACTCACCACACTCACCATACACACTCACCACACTCACCACACTCACCATACACAGCATACACCCTAAACACACTCACTGATGGTGCTGGTGATGGTCTTAGTGTTGATGCTGATGATCATAGTATTGATTATGCTAATTATTGATAGTGTTGATGGTAGTATTGATGATGCTTATGATGATAGTGCTGATGATAGTATTGATGATGTTTATGATGATAGTGCTGATGATAGTATTGATGATGCTTATGATGATAGTGCTGATGATGATGCTTATGATGATAGTGCTGATGATGCTGATGGTGCTGATGATGATGCTGCTGCTCATGGTGAAAGTGTCGGTGTTGGTGCTGATTATGATGATAGTGATGATGATGATGCTGCTGCTGATGATTCTGATGATGATGGTGCTGATGGTGATGATTCTGATGATGATGGTGCTGATGGTGATACTGATTGTCCTGATGATGGTCCTGATGATGCTGATGATGCTGATGATACTGCTGATTATGATACTGATGCTGGTGCTGCTGATGTTGATGGTACTGATGATGATGGTACTGATGATGCTGATGGTGCTGATGATGATACTGATGCTGCTGATGCTGATGATGGTGCTGATGTTGATGCTGATGATGGTGCTGATGATGGTGCTGATGATGATGATGCTGATGCTGATGATGCTCCTGATGATGCTGATGGTGCTGATGATGCTCCTGATGATGCTCCTGATGCTACTGATGCTGCTGACGATACTGATGATGGTGCTGCTGATGCTGCTGATGATGCCCCCCCACCCACTCCTCCCCCCCAGGGCGATGCGCGAGTCCCCGCGTGGTGCAGGTGCCAGGTTGGGGTGGGGGGGGCCCCCCTCCCCCACCCCCACCCCCCACCCCGTCAGCACCCTGGAGGTGGGGGCCGCCCCCCCCGCCGCCCCCCCCCGCGGGGTCAGGGGGGGGGTCAAGGGGGGGGGCGGCCCCTCCCCTCTGCTCCCCTGGACCGTGGAGACGCTTGACGACGCCTCGCACACCTTCCTGCTGCAGGTGCCGTTGCCTGGCAACCCCCCGTCACCTGGCAACCCCCTCCCCCCCCCCCATGGCCCTAGAGACGCATTCCGCCTGGTTGTCTAGCAACCAAAACACCCGTTTGCCTAGAGACATGGTCGCCTAACAACCTGGTTGTCTAGCAACCAAAACACCTGTTTGCATAGAGACACGATCGCCTAGCAACCTGGTTGTCTAGCAACCAAAACACCCGTTTGCCTAGAGACATGGTCGCCTAGCAACCTGGTTGTCTAGCAACCAAACACCTGTTTGCCTAGAGACACGGTCGCCTAGCAACCTGGTTGTCTAGCAACCAAAACACCCGTTTGCCTAAAGACACGATCACCTAGCAACCTGGTTGTCTAGCAACCAAAACACCCGTTTGCCTAAAGACACGATCACCTAGCAACCTGGTTGTCTAGCAACCAAAACACCCGTTTGCCTAGAGACACGATCACCTAGCAACCTGGTTGTCTAGCAACCAAAACACCCGTTTGCCTAGAGACATGATCACCTAGCAACCTGGTTGTCTAGCAACCAAAACACCCGTTTGCCTAGAGACACAATCACCTAGCAACCTGGTTGTCTAGCAACCAAAACACCCGTTTGCCTAGAGACACGATCACCTAGCAACCTGGTTGTCTAGCAACCAAAACACCCGTTTGCCTAGAGACACGATCACCTAGCAACCTGGTTGTCTAGCAACCAAAACACCCGTTTGCCTAGAGACACGATCACCTAGCAACCTGGTTGTCTAGCAACCAAAACACCCGTTTGCCTAGAGACACGATCACCTAGCAACCTGGTTGTCTAGCAACCAAAACACCCGTTTGCCTAGAGACACGATCACCTAGCAACCTGGTTGTCTAGCAACCAAAACACCCGTTTGCCTAGAGACACGATCACCTAGCAACCTGGTTGTCTAGCAACCAAAACACCCGTTTGCCTAGAGAAACGGTCGCCTAGCAACCTGGTTGTCTAGCAACCAAAACTCTTGTTTGCCTAGAGACACGGTCGCCTGGCAACCTGGTTGTCTAGCAACCAAAACAACTGTTTGCCTAGAGACACGGTCGCCTAGCAACCTGGTTACCTAGCAACCAAAACACCTGTTTGCATAGAGACACGATCGCCTAGCAACCTGGTTATCTAGCAACCAAAACACCAGTTTGCCTAGAGATACGGTCGCCTAGCAACCAAAACTCCTGTTTGCCTAGAGACACGGTCGCCTAGCAACCTGGTTGTCTAGCAACCAAAACACCTGTTTGCCTAGAGACACGGTCGCCTAGCAACCTGGTTGTCTAGCAACCAAAACTCCTGTTTGGCTAGAGACACAGTCGCCTAGCAACCTGGTTGTCTAGCAACCAAAACACCTGTTTGCCGAGAGACGCGGTCGCCTGGCAACCTGGTGGTCTAGCAACCAAAACACCTGTTTGCCTAGAGACACGGTCGCCTGGCAACCTGGTTGTCTAGCAACCAAACACCTGTTTGCCTTGAGGCACAGTCGCCTAGCAACCTGGTTGTTTAGCAACCAAAACACCCGTTTGCCTAGAGATACGGTCGCCTAACAACCTGGTTGTCTAGCAACCAAAACTCTTGTTTGCCTAGAGACACGGTCGCCTAGCAACCTGGTTGTCTAGCAACCAAAACTCTTGTTTGCCTAGAGACACGGTCGCCTAGCAACCTGGTTGTTTAGCAACCAAACACCTGTTTGCCCTGAGGCACAGTCGCCTAGCAACCCCCGTTGCTTGGAGACCCATTCGCCTGGTTGTTACCAATCAGAGCAGCTGCTTGCCGAGCTACTTGGTTACCTAGCAACCGGGCTACCAAGTTTTTTAGCAACCTGGTTACCTAGCGACTGTCACCCGCTGATGATGATTTCCCTCCATGCTACACCGCTCGACTCCGTGAGACTGATGATGATGATGCTGCTGCTACTGATGGTGCTGCTACTACTACTGATGATGATGCTGATTATGCTGATGATGGTGCCGATGATGCTACTGATGATGCTGCTGATTCTGCTGATGATGCCGCTGATTCTGCTGATGGTGCTACTGATGTTGCTTCTGCTGATGATGCTGCTGCTGATGATGATGCTGCTGCTGATGATGCTGCTGATTCTGCTAATGCTGCTGATTCTGCTAATGCTGCTGATTCTGCTAATGCTGATGATGCTGCTGCTGATGATGCTGCTGATTCTGATAATGCTGACGATGCTGCTGCTGATGATGATGCTGCTGATGATGATGCTGACGATGCTGCTGCTGATGATGCTGCTGCTGATGCTGATGATGATGCTGCTGACGATGCTGCTGCTGTTTTCTCTCTCTCTGCAGAAGGGAGCGAGTGGAGGTACTCTGCTCGACTCGGTGTGGACGCTGCTGCGCGTTGTGGAGTGCGACTACTTTGGCCTGGAGTTTGAGGATCAGCGCGGAAATCAGGCGAGTGCACACGGGCTCGCCCGGCCTGCCTGGCTACCGCACTCGTCAGTGACGTGCGGCACGCGGTGGAGCGAGCGGTCGGGGAGGGTGGCTCACGCAGAGAGAGACGCAGACTCAGCACGCAGAGAGAGAGACGCAGACTCATCACGCAGAGAGAGAGACACAGACTCACTACACAGAGACCCACAGAGTTATCACGCAGAGACCCATAGACTCACCACACAGAGAGAGACACAGACTCATCACACAGAGAGAGAGACACAGACTCACTACACAGAGACCCACAGACTCACCACACAGAGACCCACAGACTCACCACACAGAGACGCACAGACTCACCACACACAGAGACCCACAGACTCACCACACAGAGACCCACAGACTCACCACACAGAGACCCACAGACTCACCACACAGAGACGCACAGACTCACCACACAGAGACCCACAGACTCACCACACAGAGACCCACAGACTCACCACACAGAGACCCACAGACTCACCACACAGAGACGCACAGACTCACCACACAGAGACCCACAGACTCATCACGCAGAGACTCAGACTCACCACACACAGAGACCCACAGACTCACCACACAGAGACCCACAGACTCACCACACAGAGACGCACAGACTCACCACACACAGAGACCCACAGACTCACCATACAGAGACCCACAGACTCACCACACAGAGACGCACAGACTCACCACACAGAGACCCACAGACTCATCACACAGAGACCCACAGACTCACTACGCAGAGACCCATAGACTCACCACACAGAGACCCACAGACTCACCACACAGAGACCCATAGACTAATCACACAGAGACCCATAGACTCATCACGCAGAGACCCACAGACTCACCACACAGAGACCCAAAGACTCACCACACAGAGACCCACAGACTCACCACACAGAGACCCACAGACTCACCACACAGAGACCCACAGACTCACCACACAGAGACCCACAGACTCACCACACAGAGACCCACAGACTCACCACACAGAGACCCACAGACTCACCACACAGAGACCCACAGACTCACCACACAGAGACCCACAGACTCACCACACAGAGACCCACAGACTCACCACACAGAGACCCACAGACTCACCACACAGAGACCCACAGACTCACCACACAGAGACCCACAGACTCACCACACAGAGACCCACAGACTCACCACACAGAGACCCACAGACTCACCACACAGAGACCCACAGACTCACCACACAGAGACCCACAGACTCACCACACAGAGACCCACAGACTCACCACACAGAGACCCACAGACTCACCACACAGAGACCCACAGACTCACCACACAGAGACCCACAGACTCACCACACAGAGACCCACAGACTCACCACACAGAGACCCACAGACTCACCACGCCCGGCCGCCTTTGTCTCCCCTAGTGGCGACGCTTACTGCACACCGCACACCAAGTGCTCATTTGAGGCTGAGTCGACCCTGGGGGAGGCCCCAGGACCCGTTCAGATAATCGCTGCTGCTGCCTGCTGCTGCTACTGCTGCTGATGCTGCTGCTGGCTGCTGCTGCTGTAGCTGCTGTTGCTGCTGCTGATGCTGCTGCTGGCTGCTGCTGTTGTAGCTGCTGTTGCTGCTGCTGATGCTGCTGCTACTGCTGCTGTTGCTGCTGCTGCTGCTGTAGCTACTGCTGCCTGCTACTGTTGCTGTAGCTGCTGCTGCTGTAGCTGCTGCTGCTGCTGTAGCTGCTGCTGCTGCTACTGCTGCTGTAGCTGCTGCTGTTGCTGCTGCTGTTGCTGCTGCTGCTGCTGTAGCTGCTGCTGCTGCTGATGCATGTGGAACTTGCCCCTGGAAGTTTTGCGAAGGCCACCTGGGGGACCTTTGTCTTTGTGCGTGGTGCAGGTGTGGCTGGACGCCAGGAAGAGGATCACCAAGCAAGTGAGAAGTGAGAGACTCACAGACACGGAGGGGGGGTTCCTGGGCCTCCCCTAGATCGACTCAGCCTCAAACGAGTACCTGGTGTAGCGGTGTGTAGTAAACATCGCCACTGGGGAGACAAAGGCGGTCGGGCGTGGTGCTGGCCACCCACCCCCTCGTGTGCCGTGCCGGCCTTTATAGGTGCTCGCTAACAGCACTTGCCCCAGCAGTCTGTAGAGGCTACACGGGGGACCTTTGTCTGTGTCTACCTTCATAGGCGCTGCTGCTACTCGCTACTAACAGCACTTGCCCCAGCAGTCTGTTAGAGGCTACACGGGGTGTCTTTGCCTTTGCGTGTTCATGTCTCCATGTGTGTCTCCCTTGTGCCGGTGGGACTGGCTTCCTTCATCTCCCCGCCAACCTCTCTCCCTGCATCCGTGTGTCTCTCCGTGTGTCTCTCCGTGAGTGTCTCCGTGCGTGTCTCTCCGTGCGTGTCTCCTTGTGTCTCTCCGTGCGTGTCTCTCCGTGTGTGTCTCCTTGTGTCTCTCCGTGCGTGTCTCCGTGCGTGTCTCTCCCTGCATCCGTGTGTCTCTCCGTGCGTGTCTCCGTGCGTGTCTCTCCGTGTGTGTCTCCTTGTGTCTCTCCGTGCGTGTCTCCGTGCGTGTCTCCGTGCGTGTCTCCGTGTGTCTCTCCGTGTGTCTCTCCGTGTGTCTCTCCGTGCGTGTCTCCGCATATCCCCGCATGTCTCCGCGTGTCCCCCGCGTGTCTCTGCGTGACCTGCGTGTCCCCCGCGTGTCTCTGCGTGTCTCCGCGTGTCTCTGCGTGTCTCCGCGTGTCCCCCGCGTGTCTCCACGTGTCTCTGCGTGTCTCTGCGTGTCTCCGCGTGTCTCTGCGTGTCTCCGCGTGTCCCCCGCGTGTCTCCACGTGTCTCTGCGTGTCTCTGCGTGTCTCCGCGTGTCTCTGCGTGTCTCCGCGTGTCCCCCGCGTGTCTCCACGTGTCTCTGCGTGTCTCTGCGTGTCTCCGCGTGTCTCTGCGTGTCTCCGCGTGTCCCCCGCGTGTCTCCGCGTGTCTCTGCGTGTCTCTGCGTGTCTCCGCGTGTCTCTGCGTGTCTCCGCGTGTCCCCCGCGTGTCTCCACGTGTCTCTGCGTGTCTCTGCGTGTCTCCGCGTGTCTCTGCGTGTCTCCGCGTGTCCCCCGCGTGTCTCCACGTGTCTCTGCGTGTCTCTGCGTGTCTCCGCGTGTCTCTGCGTGTCTCCGCGTGTCCCCCGCGTGTCTCCACGTGTCTCTGCATGTCTCCGCGTGTCTCCCCCTACGTCCGCGTGTCTCCGCGTGTCTCAGAACCCTCCATGGTGACGTTCAAGATGAGCGTGAAGTTTTTCCCTCCGGACCCTGGACAGCTGTTTGATGAACTCACGAGGTGAGACGCGGAGGGACACGGGGACACGGGGGGACATGGGGACACGGGGGGATATGGGGACACGGGGGACATGGGGACACGGGGGACATGGGGACACGGGGGGACATGGGGACACGGGGGGACATGGGGACACGGGGGACATGGGGACACGGGGACATGGGGACACGGGGGGACATGGGGACACGGGGGGACATGGGGACACGGGGGACATGGGGACACGGGGGGACATGGGGACATGGGGACACGGGGGGACATGGGGACATGGGGGGACATGGGGACACGGGGGGACAGGGGGACACGGGGGACAGGGGGACACGGGGGACATGGGGACACGGGGGACATGGGGACACGGGGGGACATGGGGACACGGGGGGACATGGGGACACGGGGACACGGGGGGACACGGGGACACGGGGGACATGGGGACACGGGGGACATGGGGACACGGGGGACATGGGGACACGGGGGACATGGGGACACGGGGGACATGGGGACACGGGGGACATGGGGACACGGGGGACATGGGGACACGGGGGACATGGGGACACGGGGGACATGGGGACACGGGGGACATGGGGACACGGGGGACATGGGGACACGGGGGACATGGGGACACGGGGGGACATGGGGACACGGGGGACATGGGGACACGGGGGACATGGGGACACGGGGGACATGGGGACATAGAAATGTGGTGACGTGGGGACACATAGACACATGGGGACACGGGGACACATAGAGGCACGGGGACGTGCGGACACATGGAGACACGGGTCGACTCAGCCTCAAATGAGTACCTGGTGTAGCGGTGTGTAGTAAACGTCGCCACTGGGGAGACAAAGGCGGCCGGGCGTGGTGCTGGCCACCCACCCCCTCGTGTGCCACAGTGCCGGTAGCCTTCACAGGCGCTGCTCGCTAACAGCACTTGCCGCTGCAGTCTGTTAAGGCTACACGGGGGACCTTTGTCCTTGTGTGTGTGTGCAGGTATCTGTTTGTGCTGCAGGTGAGGAGAGATCTTTCTCATGGCCGCCTGCCATGCAGCGACACCTCCAGAGCGCTGCTGCTCTCTTACCTGTTGCAGGGTGAGTAGGAGATGTTGACTACCTCGCCTGGTACGCAGGAGGTCGTGGGGTCGATCCCGACCCTGACGATGCCTGCTGCTGTAGATTTGGAGTTTGCGTGTCTCTCTCATCATCATCATCAGGGTGGCTATGAGATGTTAACTACCTCGCCTGGTACGCAGGAGGTCGTGGGGTCGATCCCGACGCGGACGACGCCTGCTGCTGTAGATTTGGAGTTTGCGTCTCTCTCATCATCATCATCAAGGTGGCTATGAGATGTTGACCACCTCGCCTGGTACGCAGGAGGTCATGGGTTCATCCCGACCCTGACGATGCCTGCTGCTTTATATTTGGAGTTTGCGTGTCTCTCTCTCTCATCATCATCATCACGGTGGCTAGGAGATGTTGACTACCTCGCCTGGTACGCAGGAGGTCGTGGGGTCGATCCCGTCATTGACAACGCCTACTGCTGTATATTTGGAGTTTGCGTGTCTCTCGCATCATCATCATCAGGGTGGCTAGGAGATGTTGACTACCTCGCCTGGTACGCAGGAGGTCGTGGGGTCGATCCCGACCCTGACGACGCCTGCTGCTGTAGATTTGGAGTTTGCCTGTCTCTCATCATCATCACGGTGGCTAGGAGATGTTGACTACCTCGCCTGGTACGCAGGAGGTTGTGGGGTCGATCCCGACCCTGACGACGCCTGCTGCTGTAGATTTGGAGTTTGCGTGTCTCTCGCATCATCATCATGGTGGCTAGGAGATGTTGACTACCTCGCCTGGTGTGCAGGAGGTCGTGGGTTCGATCCCGACCCTGACGACACCTGCTGCTGCTGTATATTTGGAGTTTGCGTGTCTCTCTCATCATCATCACGGTGGCTAGGAGATGTTGACTACCTCGCCTGGTGTGCATGAGGTCGTGGGTTCGATCCCGACCCTGACGACGCCTGCTGCTGTAGATTTGGAGTTTACGTGTCTCTCTCATCATCATCACGGTGGCTAGGAGATGTTGACTCCCTCGCCTGGTACGCAGGAGGTTGTGGGTTCGATCCCGACCCTGACGATGTCTGCTGCTGTACATTTGTAGTTTGTGTGTCTCTCTCTCTCATCATCATCACGGTGGCTAGGAGATGTTGACTACCTCGCCCGGTACGCAGGAGGTCGTGGGGTTCCTCCCGACCCTGACAACGCCTGCTGCTGCTGTATATTTGGAGTTTGCGTGTCTCTCTCTCTCATCATCATCATCAGGGTGGCTAGGAGATGTTAACTACCTCGCCTGGTACGCAGGAGGTCGTGGGTTCGATCCCGTCCCTGACGACGCCTGCTGCTGCTGCTGTAGATTTGGAGTTTGCGTGTCTCTCTCTCTCCCCCCGTGGTCACGTCGTTTTCTCTCCGGGTCGTCCGGGTTTTCCCTTCCGCATTAAGAATCAACGTCCTTTAAATTAGAAAAATTGAGCATAGGTTTGTACCCTTTCCTGCAGCAATAAAACAGCAGGAGTCGTGTTAAGATGTTGAAACACCAAACAGATTACACCCTTCGCAAGCGATCAAGTCACCGCGCATTAACCGCGGTACTTGTGGCATTCACAGCTCGTGGTGAGTGAGTTGTGAGACCGTTCGCCGATTGGCGTTGCTCTCTGGTCCGACTCTGCTGGTGAGACTAGGCCGTCTCGGAAAGCTGCCATCTCTGGTGTAGGCCAATCGGTTTAAAACGCAATGCGTCGGTATCATCGGAGCAATGTTTACTCTTTGGTTCTTCGTAGTTAGCAACAGAGGTCGCAAACGGGCTTTGATTCCGTACCCGTACCCGGCCGCACCAGGGTCGCAAACGGGTACCCGTACCTGGCCGGGTACGGGTACCCGTTCCCTACCCGTACCCTACCCGACATGAGTGACAAACGGTGACTCACCAGTGACTCACGGTCTACCCGTACCCGGCCGCACCAGGGTCGCAAACGGCTACCCGTACCTGACCGGGTACGGGTAGCCGGGTATCGGGTAGGGTACGGGTATCGGGTACCCGGTTGCGACCTCTGGTTAGCAATAAAATAAAACAAATCACGACGTTTCGATCGCAACACAAGCGGTTGCCTGATCACGACGGCTTGTGTTGCTGTTGTCGTGTTGTTGTCATGTTGTTGTTGTGTTGTTGTTGTCGTGTTGTTGTTGTCGTGTTGTTGCTGTTGTCATGTTGTTGTGTTGTGGTCATGTTGTTGTTGTGTTGTTGCTGTTGTGTTGTTGTGTTGTGGTCATGTTGTTGTTGTGTTGTTGCTGTTGTGTTGTTGTGTTGTGGTCATGTTGTTGTTGTGTTGTTGCTGTTGTGTTGTTGTGTTGTGGTCATGTCGTTGTTGTGTTGTTGTTGTTGTCGTGTTGCAGCGGAGGTGGGCGACGCCACGGAGAGCGCGGCGCGTCACTTCCTGCGCACCGAGGGGCCAATCACGTCACTCGCTCCGCTCGTTGAGGCCTCAGCCCTGCACATGCACCAGCAGCACCGGTGGGGGGGGGCGTGGGGGAGGGTGGGGAGGGTGGGGGAGGGTGGGGAGGGTGGGGAGGGTGGGGGAGAGTACCTGTGTGTGTGTACCTGTGTATGTGTACCATGTACCTGTGCATGTACCTGTCTGTGTGTACCTGTGTATGTGTACCTGTGTGTGTGTACCTGTGTGTGTGTGTGTACCTGTGTGTGTACCTGTGTATGTGTGTGTACCTGTGTGTACCTATGTGTGTACCTGTGTGTGTGTACCGTGTACCTGTGCGTGTACCTGTCTGTGTGTACCTGTGTGTGTGTACCTGTGTGTGTACGTGTGTACCTGTCTGTGTGTACCTGTGTATGTGTGTGTACCTGTGTGGGTGTACCTGTGTGTGTACTTGTGTATGTGTGTGTACCTATGTGTGTACCTGTGTGTGTACCTGTGTGTGTGTGTGTGTACCTGTGTGTGTACCTGTGTGTGTGTGTGGGGAGCGGTAGTGTAGCGGTTAGCGCGCTGCGCTATGAACCTGGCGACCCGGGTTCGATTCCCGCTCACGGCTAACACCAGTGACGATTATCTGAACCGGTCCTGGGCCTCCCCTAGGTCGACTCAGCCTTAAATGAGTACCTGGTGCGGTGTGTAAACATCGCCACTGGGGAGACAAAGGCGGTCGGGCGTGGTGCTGGCCACCCACCCCCTCGTGTACCGTTCCGGCCTTCATTGGTGCTCGCTAACAGCACTTGCCCCTACAGTCTGTTAAGGCTATACGGGGGATCTTTATCTTTGTCTTTGTGTGTGTGTACCTGTGTGTGTGTGTGTACCTGTGTGTGTCTGTGTCTGTGTGTGTGTGTGTACCTGTCTGTGTGTGTACCTGTGTGTGTGTGTGTGTGTACCTGTGTGTGTACCTGTGCGTGTGTGTGTGTACCTGTGTGTGTACCTGTGCGTGTGTGTGTGTACCTGTGTGTGTACCTGTGCATGTGCCTGTGTGTGTGTGTGTGTACCTGTGTGTGTACCTGTGCGTGTGCCTGTGTGTGTGTGTGTACCTGTGTGTGTATGTGTGTGTACCTGTGTGTGTGTACCTGTCGACTCAGCCTCAAATGAGTACCTGGTGCGGTGTGTAAACATTGTCACTAGGGAGACAAAGGCGGTCGGGCGTGGTGCTGGCCACCCACCCCCTCGTGTACCGTTCCGGCCTTCATAGGTGCTCGCTAACAGCACTTGCCCCAACAGTCTGTTAAAGGCTATACGGGGGTTCTTTGTTCTTTCTTTGTGTGTACCTGTGTGCATGTGTACCTGTCTGTGTGTGTGTACCTGTGTGTGTGTACCTGTGTGTACCTGTGCGTGTGCCTGTGTAGTGGACAGAGCCCCGGGCAGGCCGAGCTGCAGGTGCTGGACGTGGCGAGGAAGCTGGAGTGGTTCGGACTGCGCCTGGTCCCCACCGCCACCACCAGGAGGGACGGCGGCAACCCCCTCCACCTCGCCCCCACGCACTCCGGCATCGTTGTCTACAGGGTGGGGCGCTCGCTCACCCGCTCACCCGCTCATTCACCCGCTCGCTCGCCCGCTCGCCCGCTTGCCCGCTTGCCCGCACGTTCACCCGCTCGCTCACCCGCTCGCTCACCCGCTCGCTCACCCGCTTGCTCACCCGCTCGCTCGCCTGCACGCTCACCCGCATGCTCGCCCGCTCGCTTGCCCGCTTTCCCGCCCACTCGCCCTCCCTGCTCGCCCGCACACTCACCAGCTCGCTCACTCACCCACCCAGTGACCAACTCGCTCACCCATACGCTCACCCGCACGCTCACTCACCCACCCGCTCCCCCACTTCGCCCACCCAGCCATCAACTCACTCACCCGCTCCCCCACTCGCCCACCCAGTCACCAACTCGCTCACCCGCTCGCCCACCCAGCCACCAACTCGCTCACTCGTCCACCCAGCCACCAACTCACTCACTCGCTCGCCCACCCAGCCACCAACTGGCTCACTCGTCCACCCAGCCACCAACTCACTCACTCGCTCCCCCACTCGCCCACCCAGCCACCAACTTGCTCACCCGCTCCCCCACACACCAACTCCCCCACTCGCCCACCCAGCCACCAACTCGCTCACCCGCTCCCCCACTCGCCCACCCAGCCACCAACTCGCTCAATCGCTCCCCCACTCGCCCACCCAGCCACCAACTCGCTCACCCGCCCACCCAGCCACCAACTCGCTCACTCGCTCCCCCACCCGCTCCCCCACCCACCAACTCGCTCACCCGCCCACCCAGCCACCAACTCGCTCACCCTCTCCCCCACCCACCAACTCCCCCACTCGCCCACCCAGCCACCAACTCGCTCACCTGCTCCCCCACTCGCCCACCCAGCCACCAACTCGCTCACCCGCCCGCCCACCCAGCCACCAACTCGCTCACCCACCCGCCCACCCAGCCACCAACTCGCTCACTCGCTCCCCCACTCGCCCACCCAGCCACCAACTCGCTCACCCGCTCCCCCACTCGCCCACCCAGCCACCAACTCGCCCACCCACCCATCGTGCCGTCCTTAGTCGGCGCTGCTCGCGAACGGCACTTGCCCCAACGGTCTGTGAAAGGCCGCACGGGGGACCTTTGTCTTTGTTGCGTCACAGGGCAGCACGAAGCTGAATTTGTGTTCCTGGGCCAAGATCCGCAAGCTGAGCTTCAAGAGAGAACGCTTCTTCCTGAAGCTGCACGCAGAGGGTGACGTGAGTGAGAGAGAGCGTGAGAGAGAGTGCGAGAGTGTGAGAGAGTGAGAGAGAGAGAGTGTGAGGGTGTGAGAGTGTGAGAGAGCGTGAGAGAGAGTGTGAGAGAGAGAGTGTGAGAGTGTGAGAGAGTGTGAGAGTGTGGTAGAGCGTGAGAGAGTGTGAATGTGAGAGAGAGTGTGAGAGAATGAGTGAATGTGATGGAGAGAGAGTGTGACAGAGTGTGTGAGAGAGTGTGAGAGAGTGTGAATGTGAGAGAGAGTGTGAGAGAATGAGTGAATGTGATGGAGAGAGAGTGTGACAGAGTGTGTGAGAGAGTGTGAGAGAGTGTGAGAGTGTGAGAGAGTGTGAATGTGAGAGAGAGTGTGAGAGAATGAGTGAATGTGATGGAGAGAGAGTGTGAAAGTGTGTGAGAGAGTGTGAGAGAGTGTGAGAGAGTGTGAGAGAGTGTGAGAGTGTGGTAGAGCGTGAGAGTGTGAGAGTGTGAGAGAGTGTGAATGTGAGAGAGAGTGTGAGAGAATGAGTGAATGTGATGGAGAGAGAGTGTGAGAGCGTGAACTTCTTTTGCTTTCTCCCCACCCCAAACCCCCCCTCCACCCCCACCCCCTCCCCCCACACCCCACCCCCCCTCCCCCTCTCCCCCCCCCGTCTCCTCCACAGGAGTTTGAGTCTTCGTGGAGCAGCGTGGACACGCTGGAGTTCACACTGCCCGACCGCGACGCCTGCAAGCGCCTGTGGAAGCGCTGCGTGGAGACGCACGCCTTCTTCCGCTCGATGCCTCCCCCCCCCTCCTCCTCCTCTTCCACCTCCACCACCACCTCCACCACCACCACACCTCCACCACCACCACCACCGCCGCCGCCGCCGCGTCCCGGCGCGACCGCCGACACCGCACGGCGCTCTTCGGCCACGGCTCGGCGTTCCACTACAGGCGAGAGAGAGAGAGCGCCAGTAGCGTCGCCCCCCTACCCACCTCATCTTCCCCCCCACCCTCCCTCCCTCCCCCCCCCCCCCACCTCATCTTCGAATACACTACACTATACACTACACTGCTATACACTACACTATACACTACTATACACTACACTTTACACTGCTATACACTACACTATACACTACACTATTATACACTAAACACTACACTATACACTACACTACAACACTACTATACACTACACTATACACTACACTACACACTACACTACTACACTACTATACACTACACTACTAAACACTACACTATACACTACTAAACACTACACTATGCACTACACATACTACATTATACACTACACTATACACTACACTACTATACACTACACTACTATACACTACACTAAACACTACACTATACACTACACTATACACTACACACTACACTACTATACACTACACTACACACTACACTATACACTACACTACTATACACTACACTATACACTACACTATACTACTATACACTACACTACTATACACTACACTAAACACTACACTATACACTACACTATACACTACACACTACACTACTATACACTACACTACACACTACACTATACACTACACTACTATACACTACACTAAACACTACACTATACACTACACTATTATTCTTCTTCTACGTTTTACACCTCCGATCGTTGTTGGGGATGTTGTTGTCGTTGTCGTTGTGGTTACGTTGTTGACAAAGCATCGCACAAAGGCACGATACGATTGTTGTGCCGGGTTCGCTGCTGGACTTGACGCTGGCCACCAGTCCGGCTCTTGACTTTCGTGTCCTCCCCCCCCCCCCCCACCTCTGCAACTCAGCGGGCGGACACAGCAGCAGTTGATAGAACATGTCAAGCAGAATGGGCTCAAGCAGACTGCCTTCACCAGGTAGGCGATTGTGCGCGTGTGTGTGTGTGTGTCATGCCCTCCCTTCTCCATGCTCGTGAAACGTGGAATTCCCTCTAATGGAACATCTGCGCCAGTTAGAAACATTCAGGCTGGCGGGCCTAACGATCCAGCCTGGGTTTAGCCTGCAGGCTGGATCGTGCGAGGAGCTCACAAATCCTTGAGAGATCTGGACACGGTCCCATCGGTGAGCTCTTCCGGCAGGCAAGGAGGCTGCGTTGGCTGGGTCACTGTAGCCACCAGCATGGCTCAGTAGTAGGGACCTCCGTCGTGGGGACCTCCGTCGTGGGGACCTCTGTCGTGGGGCCCCTCCGTCGTGGGGCCCCTCCGTCGTGGGACCTCCGTCGTGGGACCTCCGTCGTGGGGACCTCCGTCGTGGGGACCTCCATCGTGGGACCTCCCTTGCCGTTCTCAAAATATAAGAATATGCTTTACCCTTTCTGGCAAATAAAAGATGTTTAAACACCAAACGGAAACCCCCCTTGCTAGGAATGGTGTCGCTGCACTCACCACACGCACGGCACGTGCGGTGAACCTGCAAACCAAACCGGAACTCGCCCCGGCAAAGGCCGATGGCGTCGCCTGTGGCACCTGATTGGTCCACGTCGCTGGGGGCGGCAGCTTTTAAATTCCGACCCTCGGTTGGATCGTGGGCCGTTGAGGCGCGGCGAGTGACCCCCCCACCCCCGACCCCCCCTGACCCCCCCCGACCCCCCCGACCCCCCTGACCCCCCCTTCTCTCCACCCTCTTGACCCCCCCACCCCCGACCCCCCCTTGACCCCCCCTTCTCTCCACCCCCTCTAGAAAACATCACCTCCCTCCTCGACGCAGCGTCTCAGTCCAGGCGCCGCAGATGTGCCTGCCGTTGACCACACGGGTGACGAGCTCGCACGTGGTGGTCTCCACACAACACCACCACCACCACAACTACCACAACTACACACCACCACCACTTCCACTACCACCACCGCCACACACCACCACCAACACACCACCACACACCAACACCAACACCACCACACCACCACCACTACCGCCACCACCACCACACCAACACCACCACACCACCACACCAACACCACACACCACCACACACCACCACCACCACCCACACACCGCCACCTACACCACCACTACTTCCACTACCACCACACACCAACACACACCACCACCCACACACCACCACCCACACACCACCACCACACACCACCACTACACAACACACACCACCACCACCACACACCACCACCACCCACACACCACCACACCACCACCACACACCACCACACACCACCACCCACACACCACCACTACACACCACCACCACACATCACCACCACCATTCCACCACCACACACCACCACCACACACCACCACCATACACCACCACCACCACACACCACCACCATACACCACCACCATACACCACCACCACCACACACCACCACCATACACCACCACCACACACCACCACCACCACACCACCGCACACCACCACGCACCACCCACACACCACCACCACCCACACACCACCACCACCACCACCCACACACCACCACCACACACACCACCAACACCACCACCACACACCAACACACACCACCACCCACACCCCACCACCACACACCACCACCACACATCACCACCACCATTCCACCACCACACACCACCACCACACATACACCACCACACACCACCACCACCACACACCACCACCACCACACACCACCACCACCACACACCACCACACACCACCATCACCACCACCACACACCCCCAGTGGCGATGTTTACTACACACTGCAAATGAAGCACTGAATGAATGACAATCACTGAATGAATAACTCGGCGAATGAATCATTCTGCGAATTAATCTCTCAACGAATCAATCGATCAATGAATGAACCACGCAACGAATCCCTCAGCGAATCACTCGCTCAATGAATGAACCACGCAATGAATCGCTCAGCGAATCACTCGCTCAATGAATGAACCACGCAATGAATCTCTCAGCGAATCACTCGCTCAATGAATGAGCCACGCAATGAATCGCTCAGCGAATCACTCGCTCAATGAATGAACCACGCAATGAATCTCTCAGCGAATCACTCGCTCAATGAATGAACCACGCAATGAATCGCTCAGCGAATCACTCGCTCAATGAATGAACCACGCAACGAATCGCTCAGCGAATCACTCGCTCAATGAATGAGCCACGCAATGAATCTCTCAGCGAATCACTCGCTCAATGAATGAACCACGCAATGAATCACCGAATGAATCACTCGGCGAATGAACCGCTCAGCGAGTCACTCGCCGAACGAATCGCTCAAGGAATGAGTCTCCCGGTAAATGAATAGCTCATTGCATGAATCGTCGAAATGAATCGCTGATTGAATCGTCGAATGATTCGAGTGCAGAGTTCAAGCTCCTCGTACGGAGCGCTGCTCCTCTCCTCCCCGCATCTCCACTTGGGCGACGCCGACAACGTCGCCGCCGGCAACGTCACCGCTGGCAACGTCGGCAACGTTGCCGCTGGCAACGTCGGCAACGCTCTCGCCTCCTCGCCGCATCGCCCTCCTCACCATCAGCATCGTCACCAGCTGCCCCACCACCACCACCTTCAACAGCAGCAGCATCAACAACAACGACAACAACAACAACAGCAGCATCAGCATCAACAACAACAGCATCAACAGCAGCAGCATCATCAACAACAGCAGCAGCATCAACATCAACAGCAGCGCGGCACCTCGGGGCGGCTGACGCCGGGCGACGCTGGCGAGGTGGACGACGGAGCGAGGAGGGGCAGCGGTGCCCTCCACGCGTCGCCATCGTCGGTATCCTCCTCCTCCTCCTCGTCGTCGTCATCGTCGTCGTCCGACGGGGCTCCGTCACCGGCCGGAAGAGGTGAGCCAGCGGCCCGCGTCACCACCAACACCTCCTCCTCCTCCTCCTCCCCGCGCGACGATGTCGTCTCGCCGAGCGAAGATGTCGGTGATGGTGGCGGCGGTGATGGTGGCGGTGGTGGTGGTGGCGGTGATGGTGGCGGTGGTGGTGGCGGTGGTGGTAGCGGTGGTGGTAGCGGTGATGGTGGCGGTGATGGTGTTTTCCGCTCCTCCGTCTGTGCACGGTACCGCTTGGCTAGCTGTGGGGATGGCGGCCGTGATGGCGGTTGCGGCGGTTGTGGTGGCGGTGGTTGTGGCGGTGGTGGCGGCGGTTGTGGCGGTTACGGTGATTGTGGCGCCGTCGACCGCTCCATCTCCCGCCGGTACCGCTTGCCGAACACCGAGCGCGATGTCGACGACGATCTGGACGCCGGCGGCGACGGTGGTGACGCCGGCGGCGACGTTGACGGTGGCGGTGCCCGTCGCTGCACCTCCCATCGCTACCACTTACCGGACGACTACGAGGGCGAGGATGACGCCGGGGCCGACGGCACCGTCGCTTCCGACGTCACCTCGTCGCGAGGCGACGGACTGCTGGCCGATGGATCGTGGCCCAGCTCCTTCGACGACGACGACGACGAGGAGGAGGAGGCGGCCGTTGCCGACGACGACGACGACGACGGTGTCACCATGACGACGATGATGTTGATGATGAGGAGCGCGGGGTGGGGGACCGTGGCCCCCCACCCACCTCTTCCTCCCCCCCCGCTCCCCTCCGGACTCCCCCTCCTGCTCGCTCCTCAACTTCCCCGCGTCGTCCGAACGATCCTTCCCTGAGGCCTTCCCGGCGTCATTCCCGGCGTCGTTCCCGGCGTCGTTCCCGGCGTCGTTCCCGGCGTCGTTCCCGGCGTCGTTCCCGGCGTCGTTCCCGGCCTTCGGCGCCTCCCGCGGCTTCGACCTCCTGCTCGCCAACTCGGACCGCTGCTCGTCAAGCGCCCGGTCTTACGACGACGATGACGACGAGGTGGACGACGAGGTGGACGACGACGCGGACGACGCGGGCAACGGTGGCGGCCTGCCGCCCTGGGCTCTCAAGGCTCCGGGCGGCGGCCCGCTGGGGGTCGGAGGTCGGCTTGCCCGCTCTGCCTCCCACACGTCGCCTCGCTGACGTCAGCGCTTGGCCCCCACCCCCCACCCCCCACCCCCCACCCGCACAGACTGTGGTGGGCATCCCCCAGGGGGCAAGGGGGCGAGGCACCTTTGTCTTTGTGCGCGTGGCATGAGGTTGCCTGTGTCCGAGTGTGGTTTTGTATGGTTTGGTTTATGTTTGTTTGTTAGAACGGACGACGCCAAAGTCGCTTTTGACAATAAACACGCCGTCGCCTCTACACCGGGGTGTCACACGTGGTGTCAGATGGGTGGGTGGGTGGGTGGCTGGATGGGTGGGTGGGTGGATGGGTGGGTGGGTAGTTGGGTGGGTGGGTGGGTGTCTGGTTGGGTGGCTGGGTGGATGGGTGGATGGGTGGCTGGGTGGGTGGGTGGATGGGTGGGTGGTTGGGTGGTTGGGTGGCTGGGTGGGTGGGTGGTTGGGTGGCTGGGTGGGTGCCTGGGTGGGTGGCTGGGTGGATGGGTGGATGGCTGAATGGGTGGGTGGCTGGATGGGTGGGTGGTTGGGTGGCTGGGTGGGTGGGTGGGTGCCTGGTTGGGTGGTTGGGTGGCTGGGTGGGTGGGTGGTTGGATGGCTGAATGGGTGGGTGGTTTGGTGGCTGGGTGGGTGGATGGGTGGCTGGTTGGTTTGGTGGCTGGGTGGATGGGTGCCTGGATTGGGTGGCTGGGTGGGTGGCTGGGTGGGTGGTGGTTGGTGGCTGAATCGGTGGGTGGCTGGATGGGTGGGTGGTTGGGTGGCTGGGTGGGTGGGTGCCTGGTTGGGTGGTTAGGTGGCTGGGTGGTTGGGTGGCTGGGTGGGTGGTTGGATGGCTGAACGGGTGGGTGGCTGGATGGGTGGGTGGTTTGGTGGCTGGGTGGGTGGGTGCCTGGTTGGGTGGGTGGCTGGGTGGATGGGTGGTTGGGTGGCTGGGTGGTTGGATGGCTGAATGGGTGGGAGGCTGGATGAGTGGGTGGGTGGTTTGGTGGCTGGGTGGGTGGATATCTGTGTCCACCCAACTGCATCATCGTCCTCATCATCATCTCCCTGTGAGTCGCACCGCTACTGCCTCCTCCAGACAGAGACAGCGGTGTGAGAGGTTGATGGTGGCGATGGTGGTGGTGGTAGTGTTGACATTAATCTGGGCCCTGGTTCCCAACTCAATCCGAACTCTCCACGCCATCCCCACACACGGAGACGCGTCCCTCCCCTCCCGTCCTCCTCCCATCTCCCTCCTGTCTCCCTGCCTCTCTCCCTGCCTCTTTCCCTGTCTCTCTCCGTGTCTCTCTCCGTGTCTCCCTCCTGTCTCGCTCCTGTCTCCCTCCTGTCCCTGTCCCCCTCCTGTCTCTCCGTGTTTCTCCGTGTCTCTCCCTGCTTCTCTCCGTGTTTTGTCTCCGTGTCTCTCTCCCTGTCTCTCTCCGTGTCTCCCTCCTGTCCCCCTCCCGTCTCCCTCCTGTCTCCGTGTCTCTCCCTGCCTCTCTCCCTGTCTCCCTGTCTCCCTGTCTCTCTCCCTGTCTCCTGCCTCTCTCCCTGTCTCCTGCCTCTCTCCCTGCCTCTCTCCCTGTCTCCCTGTCTCTCTCCCTGTCTCCTGCCTCTCTCCGTGTCTCTCCCTGTCTCCTGCCTCTCTCCCTGCCTCTCTCCCTGTCTCCCTGTCTCTCTCCCTGTCTCCTGCCGCTCTCCGTGTCTCTCCCTGTCTCCTGCCTCTCTCCCTGTCTCCTGCCTCTCTTCCTGCCTCTCAGCGGGACACTGGCCGGTGGCCGTGTCTCCGCCGCGTGTCTCCGCCGCGTCCCCGGGGCGTGGGGACGACGTCTCCGCGTCGTCGTCGTCCCCCCCGTCGCTCTCGCCGTGCCTCAGCGACGTGAGCGGCTGCAGCTCCCGCACGGACGAAGACGCCGGAGGAGCCCCCGCCGCCGCCGGAGGTGGGGGTCATCGCAAGGTGGGTGGGCGATGATGGTCAACGTCACTACCACCACGGACAGCAGCGTCATCACAAACATCATCACTAACATCATCACTAACAGCATCACGGACATCATCATCATCATCACTAACATCATCATCACTAACATCATCACTAACAGCATCACTAACATCATCACTAACATCATCACGGACATCATCATCACTGTCATCATCATCACTGTCATCATCACTAACATCATCACTAACATCATCATCACTGTCATCATCACTAACATCATCATCACTAACAGCATCACGGACATCATCATCACTGTCATCATCACTAACATCATCATCACTAACATCATCACTAACATCATCACGGACATCATCATCATCACTAACATCACCATCACTAACATCATCACTAACATCATCACGGACATCATCATCACTGTCATCATCACTAACATCATCATCACTAACTTCATCATCACTAACATCATCATCACTAACAGCATCACGGACATCATCATCATCATCACTAACATCATCATCACTAACATCATCATCACTCATCATCATCACTAACATCATCATCACTAACATCATCATCACTAACATCATCACTAACAGCATCACGGACATCATCATCATCATCACTAACATCATCATCACTAACATCATCATCACCATCATCATCACTAACATCATCATCACTAACATCATCATCACTAACATCATCACTAACAGCATCACTGACATCATCATCATCATCACTAACATCACCATCACTAACATCATCACTAACATCACTAACATCATCATCGTTACTAACATCATCATCACTCATTAACATCACTAACATCATCATTATCACTAACATCATCATCACTAACATCATCACTAACAGCATCACGGACATCATCATCATCATCACTAACATCATCATCACTAACATCATCATCACTGTCATCATCACTAACATCATCATCACTAACATCATCATCATAGCTAACATCATCATCATAGCTAACATCATCATCACTGTCATCATCACTAACATCATCACAAACATCATCACAAACATCATCACTAACATCATCACTAACATCATCACTAACATCATCACTAACATCATCACTAACATCATCACAAACATCACAAACATCATCACTAACATCATCACTAACATCATCACTAACATCATCACTAACATCATCACAAACATCATCACAAACATCATCACAAACATCATCACTAACAACATCACAAACATCATCACAAACATCATCACTAACATCATCATCGCTAACATCATCATCACTGTCATCATCACTAACATCACCGTCACTAACAGCATCACAGCTTCACGGACATCAGCGTCATCATCATCACTAACATCATCACAAACATCATCACAAACATCATCACTAACATCATCACAAACATCATCACTAACATCATCACTAACATCATCACTAACATCATCACAAACATCATCACAAACATCATCACAAACATCACCACGAACATCATCACTAACATCATCACAAACATCATCACTAACATCATCACAAACATCATCACCACGAACATCATCACAAACATCATCACTAACATCATCACCATGAACATTATCATCACTAACATCATCATCACTAACATCATCATCACTGTCATCGTCACTGACATCTTTGTCTGTGTCTACCTTCATAGGTGCTGCTGCTACTCGCTACTGACAGCACTTGCCCCTACAGTCTGTTAGAGGCTACACAGGGGATCTTTGTGTCTACCTTAATCGTTGCTGCTACTCACTACTGACAGCACTTGCCCCTACAGTCTGTTGAGGCTACACGGGGGACGTTTGCCTTTGTTGTCTTGCGCAGCGTGTGCCGGCAGACCGGGCCTACTTCATCACCAAGGAGCTTCTGGCGACGGAGCGGACCTACCTGCGGGACCTGGCCGCCCTCGTCACGGTCAGAGGTCAACCCCCCCTCCCCCCTGCGTCTCGGTGACTCCGACACGGCCATCGTGAACCCCTAGAGAGAGAGACACCCAGGGCTTGAACCTTGACACAAGCACCCAGCCAGGCTCCCAGCCAGGCACCCAGCCAGGCACCCAGCCAGGCACCCAGTCAGGCACCCAGCCAGGCACCCAGTCAGGCACCCAGCCAGCCAGGCACCCAGCCAGGCACCCAGCCAGGCACCCAGTCAGGCACCCAGCCAGGCACCCAGCCAGGCACCCAGTCAGGCACCCAGCCAGGCACCCAGTCAGGCACCCAGCCAGCCAGGCACCCAGCCAGGCACCCAGCCAGGCACCCAGTCAGGCACCCAGCCAGGCACCCAGCCAGGCACCCAGCCAGCCAGGCAGCCAGCCAGGCACCCAGCCAGGCAGCCAGTCAGGCACCCAGCCAGCCAGGCACCCAGCCAGGCACCCAGCCAGGCAGCCAGTCAGGCACCCAGCCAGCCAGGCACCCAGCCAGGCAGCCAGCCAGGCACCCAGCCAGGCACCCAGCCAGGCACCCAGCCAGGCACCCAGTCCGGCACCCAGCCAGCCACCCCAGCCAGGCACCCAGCCAGGCACCCAGTCAGGCACCCAGCCAGGCACCCAGCCAGGCACCCAGTCAGGCACCCAGCCAGGCACCCAGTCAGGCACCCAGCCAGCCAGGCACCCAGCCAGGCACCCAGCCAGGCACCCAGTCAGGCACCCAGCCAGGCACCCAGCCAGGCACCCAGCCAGCCAGGCAGCCAGCCAGGCACCCAGCCAGCAGCCAGTCAGGCACCAGCCAGCCAGGCACCCAGCCAGGCACCAGCCAGGCAGCCAGTCAGGCACCCAGCCAGCCAGCCCCAGCCAGGCAGCCAGCCAGGCACCCAGCCAGGCAGCCAGCCAGGCACCCAGCCAGGCAGCCAGCCAGGCACCCAGCCAGGCACCCAGCCAGGCACCCAGCCAGGCACCCAGCCAGGCACCCAGCCAGGCACCCAGCCAGGCACCCAGTCAGGCACCCAGCCAGCCAGGCACCCAGCCAGGCACCCAGCCAGGCACCCAGCCAGGCAGGCATGAGTAGGAGACGCGAGAGGAGAGAGGTGAGCGGTGACTGTGGGGAAGGAGGTTTGTCTCTGTGTTTCCTGTGCAGTGTCTGGGTGGAGGAGGTGGAGGAGGTGGAGCGAGTGCTGCTGCTGCCCAGCTGCTGCCGGCACCGCCGCCGCCGCTGCTGCTGCTGCCCGCCATCGCTTCTCTGCAGCTGCTCCACGCGGACTTCCTGCGCCGCGTGGAGCAGCGGATGGCGCTCTGGTAGGGACGGGGGGAGCACCCTGCGGCCACCAGTCCACTCCGCCATCCTTGTGTGTCTCTCTCTCTCTCCCTGTCCATCTGTCTCTTCTCCCCCTCCCTCCTCCTCCTCCCTCTTCCCTCCTCCTGCCCCCTCCCCCTCCCTCCTCGTCCCCCCTCCCTCCTCCCCCCCCCTCCTCGTCCCCCTCCCCCCTCCCCTCCTCGTCCCCCTCCCTCCTCCTACCCCCTCCTTTCCCCTCCTCCTCCCCCCTCCTCCTCCCCCCTCTTCCTCCCCCCTCCCCCCTCTCCCCCCCCCCCCCTCGTCCTCCTCCCTTCCACCACCCGGGGATCTGTGAACTACCGGACGCCTGTGGAAAAGAGCTTCATAGCTCATCGGATTCCTCCCGTCCCAAGTCAATAATCTGATCCTGATGAGGGGGCCCGGGTTCGATTCCCAGCCACGCACAGCATTGGTGACGCGCAGTATCTGAGCCAAGCACTGGGGAGACAAAGGCGGCCGGCAGCCTTCATAGGTGCTGCTGCTACTCACTACTAACAGCACTTGCCCCAGCAGCCTGTTAGAGGCTACACGGGGGATCTTTGTCTGTGTCTACGTTCACAGGTGCTGCTGCTACTCGCTACTAACAGCACTTGCCCCAGCAGCCTGTTAGAGGCTACACGGGGGATCTTTGTCTGTGTCTACCTTCATAGGTGCTGCTGCTACTCACTACTAACAGCACTTGCCCCAGCAGTCTGCTAGAGGATCTTTGTCTTTTCCCCAGGGAAGGGAGGTCCAATGCCCACCTCAAAGGCGACTTCCAAAAAATTGGAGACATCCTCCTGCACTTCATTCAAACCCTGAAGGTGAACACGCATCATCAACATCATCAACATCAGCAGCATCGTCATCAGCGGCATCGTCAGCGGCATCGTCATCATCTGCAGCGTCATCGTCCGCATCATCAACAGCAGCATCGTCATCATCATCGTCATTATAAGCAGCATCATCCACAGCATTGTCATCATCATCATCAGCATCATTGCATCGGCATCACTCCACCTCTTCACCCACGCTCACCACTCACCCACGCTCACCACTCGCCCACACTCACCACTCACCCACACTCACCACTCACCCACGCTCACCACTCACCCACGCTCACCACTCACCCACTCTCACAACTCACCCACACTCACCACTCACCATCACTCACAACTCACCCACGCTCATCACTCACCCACACTCACAACTCACCCATGCTCACCACTCACCCACGCTCAACCACTCACCCACACTCACAACTCACCACTCACCCACACTCACAACTCACCCACGCTCACCACCCACCCACACTCACCACTCACCACACAGAGACACTCCACCTCTTGATCCCCCCCCGTCCTCTCTCCCCCCCCCGCCCCTAGGCCCAGCTCCCCCTGCTGCTCTCTCTGGAGTCTCTGCAGGGGGAGCTGCTGCTGCTGCCGCCCCCCTCCCAGGGTTGGGGGGGGCACCCCCCGAACGAGACCCCCCACGCCCCCCCCCACGCCTCCCCCCCGCGGCCGCCGCTGCGCCTCTCGTCGGCCGGCGGCCTCCTCGCGAAGGCCTTGCAGCGGCCGCCTCACTACGCGCTGCTGCTCGCTCGCCTGTGCGCCCACTACCCAGACGCGCACCCGGACCGCGGAGACTGCGCCGGTTCGATCGCCTCGCCCCGCCTCGGCTGCACGTCCACACGGCCATCTTGCTTGTTGGGGGTCGAACGATCACGGACTTTTGACCGAGCTACACGTCTACACGGCCATCTTGCTTATTGGGGGTCGAACGATCACGGACTTTTGACCGAGCTACACGTCCACACGGCCATCTTGCTTATTGGGGGTCGAACGATCACGGACTTTTGACCGAGCTACACGTCCACACGGCCATCTTGCTTATTGGGGGTCGAACGATCACGGACTTTTGACCGAGCTACACGTCCACACGGCCATCTTGCTTATTGGGGGTCGAACGATCACGGACTTTTGACCGAGCTACACGCCCACATGGCCATCTTGCTTATTGGGGGTCAATCGATCGCTCGCCCCGCCTGAGCCACACGTCCACATTGGCCATCTTGATACGTGGTTGGCTAATCGATTATAGATTTTTGATTGAGCTCCACGTCCACACGGCCATCTTAATATTCGGTTGGCTGACCAATCGCAGACTTTTGATTGAGCTACACGTCCGTAAACGGCCATCGTGTGTGTGTGTGCGCGCCTTACGTCCGCCAGCCGCGCTGCAGGAGGTGTCGCGCATCACCGACGCTACGCAGGAGGCAGCGGCTCGCATGGAGAATGCGGAGAAGCTGGCCGCACTGGATCGCGACGTCGTGGGGATCGGCAAGCTGAGCATTCCCGGAAAGGTTCGGACCCAATCCGTGTCCCGGGTTTACACCTGGACCTCCACCCCCCTCTGTTTGGACCACGCTGGCTGGGAGATGTTGACTCCCTCGCCTGGTGTGCAGGAGGTCGTGGGTTCGATCCCGACCCTGACGCCTGCTGTATATTTGTGTAGTGGCGATATGTTGACTACCTTGCCTGGTGTGCAGGACGTCGTGGGTTCGATCCCGACCCTGATGACGCCTGCTGCTGTATATTTGTGTGTGACTAGGAGATGTTAACTCCCTCACCTGGTGTGCAGGAGGTCGTGAGTTTGATCCCGACCCTGACGCCTGCTGCTGTATATTTTTATTTAGCGTTTCTCTCTCTCTCTCCCCGTGGTCGCGTGGATTTTTCTCCGGGTCCTCCCGATTTCCCCCCCTCCGCGTTGAGAATCAACGTCACACGTTTCGAGTGTTTTGCTGCCGCTAAAAATTTGCACGTGATGACGACGATGATCATCACGAGCCACTTCGTGTGAGCTCTCATTTGAGATGGCCACGCGGCTTCTGAAAAAGTACGTGGTGGGTGTTACGTGTGTGGTACGTGTGTGGTGTGTGGTGCGTGGTGCGTGTGTGGTGCGTGGATGGTGCGTGTGTGGTGTGTGGTGCGTGGTGTGTGTGTGGTGCGTGTGTGGTGCGTGGATGGTGCGTGTGTGGTGTGTGGTGCGTGGTGTGTGTGTGGTGCGTGGATGGTGCGTGCGTGGTGTGTGGTGCGTGGTGTGTGCGTGTGTGGTGTGTGGTGCGTGGTGTGTGCGTGTGTGGTGTGTGGTGTGTGGTGCGTGCGTGGTGCGTGGTGCGTGGTGCGTGGTGTGTGGTGTGTGCGTGTGTGGTGTGTGGTGCGTGGTTGGTGCGTGCGTGGTGTGTGGTGTGTGGTGCGTGGTGTGTGCGTGGTGTGTGGTGTGTGGTGTGTGGTGCGTGGTGTGTGGTGTGTGCGTGGTGTGTGGTGTGTGGTGCGTGGTGTGTGGTGCGTGGTGTGTGGTGTGTGGTGCGTGGTGTGTGCGTGGTGTGTGGTGTGTGGTGTGTGGTGCGTGGTGTGTGGTGTGTGCGTGCGTGGTGTGTGGTCCGTGGTGTGTGTGTGGTGTGTGGTGTGTGGTGCGTGGATGGTGCGTGTGTGGTGTGTGGTGCGTGGTGTGTGGTGCGTGGTGTGTGGTGTGTGGTGCGTGGTGTGTGTGTGGTGCGTGGATGGTGCGTGTGTGGTGTGTGGTGCGTGGTGTGTGGTGTGTGGTGTGTGGTGCGTGGTGTGTGTGTGGTGCGTGGTGTGTGCGTGTGTGGTGTGTGGTGTGTGGTGCGTGGTGTGTGGTGCGTGGTGTGTGTGTGGTGCGTGGATGGTGCGTGTGTGGTGTGTGGTGTGTGGTGCGTGGTGTGTGTGTGTGTGGTGTGTGGTGCGTGGTGTGTGTGTGGTGCGTGGTGTGTGCGTGTGTGGTGTGTGGTGCGTGGTGTGTGGTGTGTGGTGTGTGGTGCGTGGTGTGTGGTGTGTGGTGTGTGGTGCGTGGTGTGTGTGTGTGTGGTGTGTGGTGCGTGGTGTGTGGTGCATGGTGTGTGGTGTGTGGTGTGTGGTGCGTGCGTGGTGCGTGGATGGTGCGTGCGCGGTGTGTGGTGTGTGGTGCGTGGTGTGTGGTGTGTGGTGTGTGGTGCGTGGTGTGTGGTGTGTGGTGCGTGGTGTGTGGTGTGTGGTGCGTGGTGTGTGGTGTGTGGTGCGTGGATGGTGCGTGCGTGGTGTGTGGTGCGTGGATGGTGCGTGTGTGGTGTGTGGTGCGTGGTGTGTGTGTGTGGTGTGTGGTGCGTGGTGTGTGTGTGGTGCGTGGATGGTGCGTGCGTGGTGTGTGGTGCGTGGTGTGTGGTGCGTGGTGTGTGGTGTGTGGTGTGTGCGTGGTGTGTGGTGCGTGGTGTGTGGTGCATGGATGGTGCGTGCGTGGTGTGTGGTGTGTGGTGCGTGGTGTGTGGTGCGTGGTGTGTGGTGCGTGGTGTGTGGTGCGTGGTGTGTGGTGCGTGGTGCGTGGTGCGTGGTGCGTGGTGTGTGGTGTGTGCGTGGTGTGTGTGGTGTGTGTGGTGCGTGGTGTGTGCGTGGTGTGTGCGTGGTGTGTGTGTGTGTGTGTGGTGTGTGTGTGTGTGGTGCGTGGTGTGTGCGTGGATGGTGCGTGCGTGGTGTGTGGTGTGTGGTGTGTGCGTGCGTGGTGTGTGGTGCGTGCGTGGTGTGTGGTGCGTGGTGTGTGTGTGGTGCGTGGTGTGTGCGTGGATGGTGCGTGCGTGGTGTGTGCGTGGATGGTGCGTGCGTGGTGTGTGGTGTGTGCGTGTGTGGTGCGTGGTGTGTGGTGCGTGGTGTGTGGTGCGTGTGTGCGTGGTGTGTGCGTGGTGTGGTGCGTGGTGCGTGGTGTGTGGTGTGTGGTGTGTGCGTGTGTGGTGTGTGGTGCGTGGTGTGTGGTGCGTGTGTGCGTGGTGTGTGCGTGGTGTGTGGTGTGTGTGGCGCGTGGTGTGTGCGTGGTGTGGTGTGTGGTGCGTGTGTGTGGTGTGGTGTGTGCGTGTGTGTGGTGTGGTGTGTGCGTGGTGTGTGTGTGGTGTGTGTGTGTGGTGCGTGGTGTGTGCGTGGTGTGTGTGTGGTGTGTGTGTGGTGTGTGCGTGGTGTGTGTGTGGTGTGTGTGTGGTGTGTGGTGTGTGCGTGGTGTGTGTGGTGCGTGGTGTGTGCGTGGTGTGTGTGTGGTGTGTGTGTGGTGTGCGTGTGTGTGGTGTGGTGTGTGCGTGGTGTGTGTGTGGTGCGTGGATGGTGCGTGTGTGGTGTGTGGTGTGTGGTGCGTGGTGTGTGGTGTGGTGCGTGGTGTGTGGTGCGTGGTGTGTGTGTGGTGCGTGGATGGTGCGTGTGTGGTGTGTGGTGCGTGGTGTGTGGTGTGTGGTGTGTGGTGCGTGGTGCGTGGTGTGTGGTGTGTGGTGTGTGCGTGTGTGGTGTGTGGTGCGTGTGTGTGGTGTGGTGTGTGCGTGGGGTGTGTGGTGCGTGGTGTGTGCGTGGTGTGGTGTGTGGTGCGTGTGTGTGGTGTGTGCGTGGTGTGTGTGTGGTGTGTGGTGTGTGCGTGTGTGTGGTGTGGTGTGTGCGTGGTGTGTGTGTGGTGTGTGTGTGGTGTGTGGTGTGTGTGTGGGGTGTGTGTGTGTGGTGTGGTGTGTGCGTGTGTGTGGTGTGTGTGTGTGGTGTGGTGTGTGCGTGTGTGTGGTGTGTGGTGCGTGGTGTGTGCGTGTGTGGTGTGTGCGTGGTGTGTGGTGCGTGTGTGTGGTGTGGTGTGTGCGTGTGTGTGGTGTGTGGTGTGCGTGGTGTGTGGTGCGTGTGTGTGGTGCGTGTGTGGTGCGTGTGTGGTGCGTGTGTGTGTGTGCGTGGTGTGTGGTGCGTGCGTGGTGTGTGGTGCGTGCGTGGTGCGTGTGTGTGTGCGTGGTGCGTGTGTGTGGTGTGTGGTGTGTGGTGTGTGTGTGGTGCGTGTGTGGTGCGTGTGTGGTGCGTGTGTGTGTGCGTGGTGTGTGGTGCGTGCGTGTGTGTGTGCGTGGTGCGTGGCTCTGCAGGTGTTCGTGCGTGAGGGTCGCCTCTTGAAGCTCACGCGCTTGGGGCCCCAGCAGCGCATGTTCTTTCTGGTGAGCGACGACGCGTCGGGTGGTGGAGGGTTCTTCACACAAAGACAAAGATCCCCCGTGTAGCCTCTAACAAACTGCAGGGGCAAGTGCTGTTAGCGAGCAGCACCTATGAAGGCTACCGGCGCTGTGGCACACGAGGGGGTGGGTGGCCAGCACCACGCCCGGCCGCCTTTGTACTGCACACCGCACCAGGTACTCATTTGAGGCTGAGTCGACCTTGGGGAGGCCCAGGACCGGTTCAGATAATTGTCACTGGTGTCGGCCGTGAGCGGGAATCGTACACACACACACGTACACACACACGTGTACACACACACACGTACACACACACACGTGTACACACACACACGTACACACACACACGTGTACGTACACACACACGTGTACACACATGTGTAACGGCGTAAGTAGCGCAGGAGACTTTTGACGGAGGCAACACGTATTTATTAACAGATTGCTACTATACAATACGTAGCGCACCCTAACACGGGAAGGGGTAACGGCCTCTTCACCCGGTCTATCCGAGGCAGTGTCCCTCGGCTGACATTTCCCCGTTAGCTCCTACTACACCCCTCTAACCCAGACCGTCCTAGTGGAGGCTAACTCACCTGGCCCAGCTTCGGGTCAGGTGCGACCCTCAGCCACACGAGCCTGGCCCTCACAAGGACACAGAAGACCTTGCTGCTCTGAGGTTGCCCCTGGCTTGCCCTGCTCGGCTGAGTGGTGAGTGACTGAGTGAGTGAGTGACTGAGTGAGTGGTGAGTGACTGAGTGAGTGGTGAGTGACTGAGTGAGTGGTGAGTAACCTGTATGGTGAGTGAGTGACTGAGTGGTGAGTGAGTGACTGAGTGAGTGACTGAGTGAGTGGTGAGTGACTGAATGAGTGAGAAGGTGAGTGACCTGTATGGTGAGTGATGAGTGAGTGAGTGGTGAGCGACTGAGTGAGTGACTGAGTGAGTGAGTGGTGAGCGACTGAGTGAGTGACTGAGTGAGTGAGTGGTAAGCGACTGAGTGAGTGAGTGAGTGGGTGAGTGACTGAGTGAGTGACTGAGTGACTGAGTGAGTGACTGAGTGAGTGAGTGGTGAGCGAGCTGGTCTTCAGTCTTCACCGGCTCTTCTGCTCCAACGACTGCCTCGAGCTCTCTCGCACACCGCCTTATATACACAACTGCCCCCCCCCCCCCCCCCCGAGGGGCGGGGCTGTATGCGGACGTTGATGTCGACACCCCAACGTAACGGCTTGCTCCACCTCTCTACGTAATACCTCTACACATGCACCACACGTACACACACGTATACACACACACACACACGTACGTACACACACATACACACACACGTGTACACACACACACGTACTCACACAAGTACTGTACACACACACCAAATACATACATACGTACACGCACACACACACGACAAACACGACACACACGCATGTACACGTACACACCCCCACGTACACGTACACACACGCACGTACACACGTGTACACGTACACACACACACATGCGCCACACGTACACACACGTACACACACAGGACAGTCTGCCAAGCCGACCTGGGTGAAGCTTTGCCTCTGCTGCTGCTACTGCTGCCTCTGCTGCTGCTGCCTCTGCTGCTGCTGCCTCTGCTGCTGCTGCCGCTGCCGCTGCTGCCGCTGCTGCTGCTGCTGCTGCTGCTGCCGCTGCCGCTGCTGCTGCTGCCGCTGCCGCTGCTGCTGCTGCCGCTGCCGCTGCTGCTGCTGCTGCTGCCGCTGCCGCTGCCGCTGCCTCTACTGCTGCTGTCGCTGCTGCCTCTGCTGCTGCTGCCTCTGCTGCTGCTGCCGCTGCTGCCTCTGCTGCTGCTGCTGCTGCTGCTGCCGCTGCTGCCTCTGCTGCTGCTGCTGCTGCCTCTGCTGCTGCTGCTGCTGCCTCTGCTGCTGCTGCTGCTGCCTCTGCTGCTGCTGCTGCCTCTGCTGCTGCTGCTGCTGCCTCTGCTGCTGCTGCTGCTGCCTCTGCTGCTGCCTCTGCTGCTGCCTCTGCTGCTGCTGCCTCTGCTGCTGCCTCTGCTGCTGCTGCCTCTGCTGCTGCCTCTGCTGCTGCTGCCTCTGCTGCTGCTGCTGCTGCCTCTGCTGCTGCTGCCTCTGCTGCTGCTGCTGCCTCTGCTGCTGCTGCTGCTGCCTCTGCTGCTGCTGCTGCTGCCTCTGCTGCTGCTGCCTCTGCTGCTGCTGCTGCCTCTGCTGCTGCTGCTGCCTCTGCTGCTGCCTCTGCTGCTGCTGCCTCTGCTGCTGCTGCTGCTGCCTCTGCTGCTGCTGCTGTGTCCCTCCGGCGGTGTTCTTCGATGTCTAGTTCCTGGACGCGCTTGTCTACACGCGCCGGGACCTCACGGCCCACAACCAGTTCCCTGTGGCCGGGCACATTCCCCTGCACGGCATGATCGTGAGTGCCCACTCCACGTTACCGCGACGGGGCACGGTACATCCGGCGTGCTGCTCGCTTGCTCCGCGGTGCCCCCCAGCATGTCGCCCACTCCACGTTCACGTGACGGGACACAGCAGTTCGTGCGGACAACTCGCGGTTGACCCTCACGCTTCATGTTGTCTCTTTGCAGCTCATCGTTTTGGAACCACCGGTAAGTGTGCGAGTGTGTGTGTGTGGGAGTGTGTGTGTGAGTCAGTGTGAGTGTGTGTGTGTGAGTGTGGGAGTGTGTGAGAGAGTGTGTGTGAGAGAGTGTGTGTGTGAGTATGAGAGTGTGTGTGAGAGAGTGTGTGTGTGTGTGAGAGTGTGGGTGTGTGAGAGTGTGTGTGTGTGAGTGTGGGTGTGTGAGAGTGTGTGTGTGTGAGTGTGTGTGAGTGTATGAGTGTGTGTGAGTGTATGAGTGTGTGTGAGTGTATGAGTGTGTGTGAGTGTGTGTGTGAGAGTGAGTGTGTGAGAGTGAGTGTGTGTGTGAGAGAGTGAGTGTGTGTGTGTGGCCTGGCACAAGCATCGTGGTGACGTCACCGCCACTTAGTGGCGAATGGCGGTTGTTGTTGTTGTTGTGTGTGTGAGAGAGTGAGTGTGTGTGTGAGTCAGTGTGAGAGTGTGTGTGAGTGTGTGTGTGAGTGAGTGTGAGAGTGTGTGTTTGTGTGAGAGTGTGTGGGTGTGGGTGTGTGTGAGAGTGTGTGGGTGTGGGTGTGTGTGTGAGTGTGTGAGTGTGTGTGAGTGTATGAGTGAGTGAGGGTGTGAGAGTGTGTGAGTGTGAACCGGTCCTGGGCCTCCCCAGCCTCAAACGAGTAGCTGGTGTAGCGGTGTGTGCAGTAAACATCGCCACTGGGGAGACAAAGGCGGCCGGGCGTGGTGCTGGTAGCCACCCACCCCCTCGTGTGCCACAGTGCCGGTAGCCTTCATAGGTGCTCGCTAACAGCACTTGCCCCTACAGTCTGTTAGAGGCTACACGGGGCATCTTTGTCTGTGTCTAACTACATAGGTGCTACTGCTCGCTCGCCGCACTTGTCCCAGCACTCCCTTGAGGCTACACGAGGGTGGGGTTCTTTGTCTTTGTGTGGGCCGCAGGAGGGAGAAGGTCACGTGGCAGCCTCCAACTGCTTCACCATCTTCTCGGCTCACAAGTCCATGGTGCTGTCTGCCAGGTCCGTCTTTGTCTCTCTTTCTCTGTCTCTCTCTCTCTCTCTGTCTGTTTCTCTGTCTCTCTCTGTCTCTCTCTGTCTCTCCTCCCGTGCCCTTAGCGGTCAATCTGGCACCGCAGCGCATGAGCGAATATCACGGAGCGACCTCTTGACATGTCCTTGCCGATGATGGTGATGGTGGTGCTGATGGTGGTGGTGCTGATGGTGGTGGCTGATGATGATGGTGGCGATGATGGTGGTGCTGATGATGGTGGTGGCTGATGATGATGATGGCGATGGTGGTAATGATGATTGTGGTGATGATGAATGGTGATTATGAATGGTGGTGCTGATGGTGGTGGTGATGGTGGCTGATGATGATGTTGATGGTGGCTGATGATGATGGTGGTGGTGGTGGTGGTGATGATGGTAGTGATGTGATGATGAATGGTGGTGCTAATGGTGGTGGTGGCTGATGATGATGACGGTGGTGGTGATGATGATGACGGTGGTGGTGATGACGGTGGTGGTGGTGATGGTGATGGTGGTGATGCATGGTGGTGCTGATGGTGGAGGTGAATGGTGGTGCTGATGGTGGTGGTGATGGTAGCTGATGATGGTGGTGGCGATGATGATGATGGTGATGATGATGATGCTCTCATCACTGTGGCTAGGAGATGTTAACTACCTCGCCTGGTATACAGGAGGTCGTGGGTTCGATCCCGACCCTGACGCCTGCTGCTGCTGCTGCTGCTGCTTTATATTTAGAGTTTGCGTGCCTCTCTCTCCGCGGTCGCGTGGATTTTTCTCCCGCGTCCTCCGGTTTTACCCTCCACATTTGGAAGCGTTTACAGGGATGATAGGTGGCTGTGTTGAGTTATCATTTGTGGCCAGGTCGCTTCCGAAGATCTACGCTGCTACTGCTGCTCGCTAACAGCACTTGCCCCAACGGCCTGCTAGAGGCTACGTGGGAGACCTTTATCTGTTTGTGTCTACAGCCTGGCCTGGTCAGTCTTAATGATCTCCCTTCTCCACGATGTTGTGTGGATGCGCCGATGCCGGAAGAGCGTGTTGGTAATTACAAGCCCATGGGCTGCGCACAAATCTAGCAGCCTCCTACCGTTGTTATTGAGCTGATCTGGCCCATGCCTTCCAATCACTCCAGACCAGGTGCCAGCATCATGACCAACTCGGGCATTGAAGTCACCCAACAAGATGGCTCTATCCCGAGGGGCCACTTTAGCCAGCACTTGTGACAGGAGGTCATAGAAGGCATCCGACTCATCGGCCTTGCCTGCATCCCTCCACGGATGTTCACGCGCTGGGCTACAAGGGGCACCTTTGTCTTTGTTGCGAGGAAGTTCTCCCCAGGAGATGGAGGCTTGGCTCTCGGACCTGGACCAGGCGATTTGTCACGCAAAGAGGAGTGGTGGAGGAGGTGGAGGAGGTGGTGGTGGAGGTGGAGGAGGTGGAGAGGGGATTGTGGTGGAGAGTAGGTCCTGTTGCAAACAACATCATCAGACACATCGTCAACATCATCATCATCAACGGCGGCATCGTCAACATCATCATCGTCAACACCGTCAACATTATCATCATGATGAACATCCTCAACATCATCAGCAACATCGTTAACATCATCAACATCATCAATGGCGGCATCGTCAACATCATCAGCAACATTGTCAACATAATAAACATCAACATCAGCAACATTGTCAACATCGTCGACATCATCAACATTATCAGCGACATCGTTAACACCGTTGACATCATTATCAGCGACATCATCATCATCGGTAACATTGTCATCACAATAAACATCAGCATCATCGTTAACATCATCGACATTATCATCAACAACAACATCATCATCATCGTGATTAACATCAACAACATCGTTACCATCATCAACAATGTCCTCGACACAAGCAGGACCATCAACATCAGCAGCATCATCACGTGATGACGAACAGCACGCTCGGTTAAGTTCAACATACATAACACACACGTGTTGTTGATGTGTCCGTGCGTGTGTACCTGTGTGTGTGTGTCACTATGTACCTGTGTGTGTGTGGGGAGCGGTGGCGCAGCGGTTAGCGCTATGCTGCGCTACGAACCCGGCAACCCGGGTTCGATTCTCGCTCACCTAGGTCGACTCAGCCTCAAATGAGTACCTGTTGCGATGTGTAAACATCGCCACTGGGGAGACAAAGGCGGCCGGGCGTGGTGCTGGCCACCCACCCCCTCGTGTACCGTTCCGGCCTTCATAGGTGCTCGCTAGCAGCACTTGCCCCTGCAGTCTGTTGAGGCTACACGGGGGACCTTTGTCTTTGTGTGTGGGGAGCGGTGGCGCAGCGGTGAGCACGCCGCGCTACAAACCCAGCGACCCGAGTTCGATTCCCGCTCACGGCCAACACCGGTGACGATTATCTGAACCGGTACCTGGGCCTCCCCTAGGTCGACTCAGCCTCGAATGAGTACCTGGTGCGGTGTGTAGTAAACATCGCCGCTGGGGAGACAAAGGCGGTCGGGCGTGGTGCTGGCCACCCACCCCCTCGTGTGCCACAGTTCCAGCCTTCATAGGTGCTGCTACTCGCTAACAGCACTTGCCCCTACGGTCTGTTGAGGCTACACGGGGGACCTTTGTCTTTGTGTCTACCTTCATAGGTGCTACTCGCTATAACAGCACTTGCCCCTACGGTCTGTTGAGGCTACACGGGGGACCTTTGTCTTTGTGTCTACCTTCATAGGTGCTACTCGCTATAACAGCACTTGCCCCTACGGTCTGTTGAGGCTACACGGGGGACCTTTGTCTTTGTGTGGAGGTGAACTTCAGCCCAACTCGCTGAGTCACGTGTGCTGGCTGCGGGGTCACAGCCTCTCCCTCTGCGACAACCTCATCATGGCCAAGGTGCGTGCCCTCTCACACGCACTGCCCCGCAGAGTCAGCTGACTGGCTGCCTGCTGTGTCTACAGAGTCAGCTGACTGGCTGTCTGCTGTACCTACAGAGACAGCTGTCTGCTGTGCCTACAGAGTCAGCCGACTGCTGTACCCACAGAGTCAGCTGACTAGCTACCTGCTGTACCTACAGAGACAGCTGACTGCTGTACCTACAGAGACAACTGACTGCTGTACCTACAGAGTCAGCTGACTAGCTACCTGCTGTACCCACAGAGACAGCTGACTGCTGTACCTACAGAGACAACTGACTGCTGTACCTACAGAGACAGCTGACTGCTGTACCTACAGAGACAGCTGACTGCTGTACCCACAGAGACAGCTGACTGCTGTACCCACAGAGACAGCTGACTGCTGTACCTACAGAGACAGCTGACTGCTGTACCCACAGAGACAGCTGACTGCTGTACCCACAGAGACAGCTGACTGCTGTACCTACAGAGTCAGCTGTCTGCTGTACCCACAGAGACAGCTGACTGCTGTACCTACAGCAGTCAGCTGACTGCTGTACCTACAGAGACAGCTGTCTGCTGTACCCACAGAGACAGCTGACTGCTGTACCTACAGAGTCAGCTGTCTGCTGTACCCACAGAGACAGCTGACTGCTGTACCTACAGAGACAGCTGTCTGCTGTACCTACAGAGACAGCTGACTACTGTACCCACAGAGACAGCTGACTGCTGTACCCACAGAGACAGCTGACTGCTGTACCTACAGAGACAGCTGACTGCTGTACCTACAGAGACAGCTGACTGCTGTACCTACAGAGTCAGCTGACTGCTGTACCTACAGAGACAGCTGACTGCTGTACCTACAGAGTCAGCTGACTGCTGTACCTACAGAGACAGCTGACTGCTGTACCCACAGAGACAGCTGACTGCTGTACCTACAGAGTCAGCTGACTGCTGTACCTACAGAGACAGCTGACTGCTGTACCCACAGAGACAGCTGACTGCTGTACCTACAGAGTCAGCTGACTGCTGTACCTACAGAGACAGCTGACTACTGTACCCACAGAGACAGCTGACTGCTGTACCCACAGAGACAGCTGACTGCTGTACCTACAGAGACAGCTGACTGCTGTACCTACAGAGACAGCTGACTGCTGTACCTACAGAGTCAGCTGACTGCTGTACCTACAGAGACAGCTGACTGCTGTACCTACAGAGTCAGCTGACTGCTGTACCTACAGAGACAGCTGACTGCTGTACCCACAGAGACAGCTGACTGCTGTACCTACAGAGTCAGCTGACTGCTGTACCTACAGAGACAGCTGACTGCTGTACCCACAGAGACAGCTGACTGCTGTACCTACAGAGTCAGCTGACTGCTGTACCTACAGAGACAGCTGACTGCTGTACCTACAGAGTCAGCTGACTGCTGTACCCACAGAGACAGCTGACTGCTGTACCTACAGAGTCAGCTGACTGCTGTACCTACAGAGACAGCTGACTGCTGTACCCACAGAGACAGCTGACTGCTGTACACACAGAGACAGCTGACTGCTGTACCTACAGAGTCAGCTGACTGCTGTACCTACAGAGTCAGCTGACTGCTGTACCCACAGAGACAGCTGACTGCTGTACACACAGAGACAGCTGACTGCTGTACCTACAGAGTCAGCTGACTGCTGTACCCACAGAGACAGCTGACTGCTGTACCCACAGAGACAGCTGACTGCTGTACCTACAGAGTCAGCTGACTGCTGTACCTACAGAGACAGCTGACTTCTGTACCCACAGAGTCAGCTGACTGCTGTACCTACAGAGTCAGCTGACTGCTGTACCTACAGAGTCAGCTGTCTGTCTACCTGCTGTGTCTACAGAGTCAGCTGTCTGTCTACCTGCTGTGCCTACAGAGTCAGCTGTCTGTCTACCTGCTGTGCCCACAGAGTCAGCTGACTGCTGTACCTACAGAGTCAGCTGACTGCTGTACCTACAGAGTCAGCTGTCTGTCTACCTGCTGTGCCTACAGAGTCAGCTGTCTGTCTACCTGCTGTGTCTACAGAGTCAGCTGTTTGTCTACCTGCTGTGTCTACAGAGTCAGCTGTCTGGTTACCTGCTGTGTCTACAGAGTCAGCTGTCTGTCTACCTGCTGTGTCTACAGGATCAGCTGTCTGTCTACCTGCTGTGTCTACAGAGTCAGCTGTCTGTCTACCTGCTGTGCCTACAGAGTCAGCTGTCTGTCTACCTGCTGTACCTACAGGGTCAGCTGTCTGTCTACCTGCTGTGTCTACAGAGTCAGCTGTCTGTCTACCTGCTGTGTCTACAGAGTCAGCTGTCTGTCTACCTGCTGTGCCTACAGAGTCAGCTGTCTGTCTACCTGCTGTACCTACAGAGTCAGCTGTCTGTCTACCTGCTGTGTCTACAGAGTCAGCTGTCTGTCTACCTGCTGTGTCTACAGAGTCAGCTGTCTGACTACCTGCTGTGTCTACAGAGTCAGCTGTCTGTCTACCTGCTGTGTCTACAGAGTCAGCTGTCTGTCTACCTGCTGTGCCTACAGAGTCAGCTGTCTGTCTACCTGCTGTACCTACAGAGTTAGCTGTCTGTCTACCTGCTGTGCCTACAGAGTCAGCTGTCTGGCTACCTGCTGTGTCTACAGAGTCAGCTGTCTGTCTGCTGTGCCTACAGAGTCAGCTGTCTGTCTACCTGCTGTGTCTACAGAGTCAGCTGTCTGTCTACCTGCTGTGTCTACAGAGTCAGCTGTCTGACTACCGGCTGTGTCTACAGAGTCAGCTGTCTGTCTACCTGCTGTGTCTACAGAGTCAGCTGTCTGTCTACCTGCTGTGCCTACAGAGTCAGCTGTCTGTCTACCTGCTGTACCTACAGAGTTAGCTGTCTGTCTACCTGCTGTGCCTACAGAGTCAGCTGTCTGGCTACCTGCTGTGCCTACAGAGTCAGCTGTCTGTCTACCTGCTGTGCCTACAGAGTCAGCTGTCTGTCTACCTGCTGTGCCTACAGAGTCAGCTGTCTGTCTACCTGCTGTGTCTACAGAGTCAGCTGTCTGTCTACCTGCTGTGCCTACAGAGTCAGCTGTCTGTCTACCTGCTGTACCTACAGAGTCAGCTGTCTGTCTACCTGCTGTGCCTACAGAGTCAGCTGTCTGTCTACCTGCTGTGCCTACAGAGTCAGCTGTCTGTCTACCTGCTGTACCTACAGAGTCAGCTGTCTGTCTACCTGCTGTGTCTACAGAGTCAGCTGTCTGTCTACCTGCTGTGCCTACAGAGTCAGCTGTCTGGCTACCTGCTGTGTCTACAGAGTCAGCTGTCTGGCTACCTGCTGTGCCTACAGAGTCAGCTGTCTGTCTGCCTGCCGTACCTACAGAGTCAGCTGTCTGTCTACCTGCTGTGTCTACAGAGTCAGCTGTCTGTCTACCTGCTGTGTCTACAGAGTCAGCTGTCTGGCTACCTGCTGTACCTACAGAGTCAGCTGTCTGGCTACCTGCTGTACCTACAGAGTCAGCTGTCTGTCTACCTGCTGTGTCTACAGAGTCAGCTGTCTGGCTACCTGCTGTACCTACAGAGTCAGCTGTCTGGCTACCTGCTGTACCTACAGAGTCAGCTGTCTGTCTACCTGCTGTGTCTACAGAGTCAGCTGTCTGTCTGCTGTGCCTACAGAGTCAGCTGTCTGGCTACCTGCTGTACCTACAGAGTCAGCTGTCTGGCTACCTGCTGTACCTACAGAGTCAGCTGTCTGGCTACCTGCTGTACCTACAGAGTCAGCTGTCTGGCTACCTGCTGTACCTACAGAGTCAGCTGTCTGGCTACCTGCTGTACCTACAGAGTCAGCTGTCTGGCTACCTGCTGTACCTACAGAGTCAGCTGTCTGGCTACCTGCTGTACCTACAGAGTCAGCTGTCTGGCTACCTGCTGTACCTACAGAGTCAGCTGTCTGGCTACCTGCTGTGCCTACAGAGTCAGCTGTCTGGCTACCTGCTGTACCTACAGAGTCAGCTGTCTGGCTACCTGCTGTACCTACAGAGTCAGCTGTCTGGCTACCTGCTGTACCTACAGAGTCAGCTGTCTGGCTACCTGCTGTGCCTACAGAGTCAGCTGTCTGGCTACCTGCTGTGTCTACAGAGTCAGCTGTCTGTCTGCTGTGCCTACAGAGTCAGCTGTCTGTCTGCTGTGCCTACAGAGTCAGCTGTCTGGCTACCTGCTACGCAAGTTCAAGATGAGTCGAGGTTGGCAGAAGCTTTGGGTCGTCTTCTCCAATTTCTGTCTCCACTTCTACAAGAACCATCAGGTTCGGAAACCCTCCGCCTGGGTTTGGGTGTCTCTGTGTACTTGATGATGCGTGCGCGTGTGTGTGCGTGTGCGTGTGTGTGTGCACGTGTGTGTGCCTGTGCGTGTGTGTGTGTGCGCGCAGTGTGTGCGCGTGTGTGTCCATGCATGCATGCATGTGTGTGTGTGTGCGTGTGTGCATGTGTGTGTGTGTGTGCATGTGTGTGTGCATGTGTGTGTGCATGTGTGTGTGAGGCCTAAATGGGGAGCGGTGGGTGTAGTGGTTAGCGCTACGCAGCGCTACGAACCTGGCGACCCGAGTTCGATTCCCGCTCAACTGCCAACACCGGTGATGATTACCTGAACCGGCCCTGGACCTCTCCTAGGTCGACTCCGCCTCAAATGAGTACCTGGTGCGGTGTGTAATAAACATCGCTAGCACTGGGGAGACAAAGGCGGCCGGGCGTGGTGCTGGCCACCCACCCCCTCGTGTGCCACAGTGCCGGTAGCCTTCATAGGTGCTACTCGCTAACAGCACTTGCCCCTACAGCCTGTTAGAGGCTACACGGGGGACCTTTGTCTGTGTCTCCTTTCATAGGCGCTGCTGCTACCAAACAGCACTTGGCCCAACAGTGTCAGAGGCTACACGATGCGGGGGGAACCTTTGTCTTTGTTTTGTTGTTGTCATTGTTGTCTTTGTTTTGTTCTTGTTGTCGTTGTTGTCTTTCATAATCAACGTTTTTTGGGTTTAGATCGCGTTTATTTATAAATGTGTCGTAACCCTCCACCACCCGACACGGCCAATCAGTAAAAATGTGTCACGTTGACAAAGACAAATAATTCACTGGCGAATTGCCCGATGATGCTGGTTGCAATTACCAGCGAAACGTCGTACTCAAATTGTAAATGTTGTGGCTTCAACACACCGGTGGGCTAAAGCAGTGAACTATTTGTCTTTGTCAACGTGACACTTTTTTACTGATTGGCCGTGTCGGGTGGTGGAGGGTTACGACACATTTATAAATAAACGCGATCTAAACCCAACAACGTTGATTATGAATAACATTGGTCGCGAAAGCCTACGTGTTAAACCGTTGTTGTCTTTGTCGTTGTTGTTGTTGTCATTGTTGTCTTTGGGTCGTTCTTGTTGTTGTTGTTGTCTGTGTCGTTGTTGTTGTTGTTGTCTGTGTCGTTCTTGTTGTTGTTGTCATTGTTGTCTTTGTGTCGTTCTTGTTGTTGTTGTTGTCTTTGTGCCGTTCTTGTTGTCATCGTTGTTGTCTTTGTGTCGTTCTTGTTGTCGTTGTTGTTGTCTTTGTGTCGTCGTCGTCAAAGGAGGACGCCCCGCTCGCGATCCTTCCCCTGCTGGGCTACTCGGTGTCTGCGGTGGAGGACGACGACGACACCGACGCCGGTGACGCCCGCGAGGGAGCGGCGGTGGCGACGGCGTCGTCGCAGCGTGACGGCGAAGACGGCGGGAGATTCGACTTCGTCTTCCGCCTGCGTCTCCGTGCTCACAGCTACCTGTTCCGCGCCGAGGGGCAGTTCACCTTCCACAGGTGACGACGACGCGCAAACGCGGGGGGAGACGGAGGTGGCCGGGCGAGGTTGCCTCAGTGTCCCGCGATCACAAACCGCTCTTTAATTCCGTCGAAAAAGTAACCTGCAGCGCCACAACTATCGCCATCGTTAGGGGAAAGAACGGTGATCAAATCTCCGACCCCCCAGGAACAGTCTTCTTCTTGGTTCTTTCGGTAAAGTCGTCACGTAGAAGGGAAGTAATAAAATAATAAAAATAAAACGTAATAAAATAATTCTCACGACGTTTCGGCCACAACGCAAGCAGCCGTCCTCAGGTGAAGAATGAAACACCATCAAGCTTGGAGCGTGTATTTAACCAGGAACAGGTTTGCAGATTTGCTGAGCATTTCAGCTGCAGTCATCTCGGTCAGTCGACCCGCGGCACCTGCTGGGTCTGCTCCCGTGACCTCCCTGCCAGCGGGCGTTCGAGACTTCACGTGGCTTCAACGTGCACCTAGCCTGGCACAAGCGTCGTGGTGACGTCACCGCCACTTAGTGGCGAATGGCGGTTGTTGTTGTTGTATACGTGTTTAAGTGGGGAGCGGTAGTGTAGCGGTTAGTGCTACGCTGCGCTACGAACCAGGTAACCCGAGTTCGATTCCCGCTCACGCCCAACACTGGTGACGATTAACTGAACTGGTATTGAGCCTCCTCTAGGTCTACTCAGCCTCAAATGAGTATCTGGTGCGGTGTGTAAACATCGCCACGAGGGAGACAAAGGCGGCCGGACGTGGTGCTGGTCACCCACTACACCCTCGTGTGCCACAGTGCCGGCAGCCTTCATAGGCTCCTGCTAACAGCACTTGTCCCTACAATCTGTTGAGGCTACATGGGGGGGTTACCTTTGTCTTTGTACGAACGTGTCCGTGTGTGTCCCTGTGTCCGTGTGTGTGTCCGTGTGTGTCTGTGTGTGTCCCTGTGTCCGTGTGTGTCCGTGTGTGTGTCGCTGTGTCCGTGTGTGTCCGTGTGTGTGTCCGTGTGTGTCCGTGTGTGTCCGTGTGTGTCCGTGTGTCCGTGTGTGTGTCCGTGTGTGTGTCCGTGTGTGTGTGTCCGTGTGTGTCTGTGTGTGTCCCCGTGTGTGTCCGTGTGTGTCCAGGTGGTTGGAAGTGCTGTCCATCTGCAGAGGCCCCACTCGGAGCAGTCTGTGGGACACACCCCAAGATTGACAACCACAGTAACACCTCCACCTGGCCATGTCGGAGACACTGCGACATCACAGCTGGGAGCCTGGGTTCGAGCCCTGGGTCTGGGTGTCTCTCTCTCTCAGGGGGTTCACAATGGCCGTGTCAGAGACACTGCGACATCACAGCTGGGAGCCTGGGTTCGAGCCCTGTGTCTGGGTGTCTCTCTCTCAGGGGGTTCACAATGGCCGTGTCAGAGACACTGAGACATCACAGCTGGGAGCCTGGGTTCGAGCCCTGTGTCTGGGTGTCTCTCTCTCTCAGGGGGTTCACAACGGCCGTGTCGGAGACACTGAGACATCACAGCTGAGAGGCTGAGTTCGAGCCCTGGGTCTGGGTGTCTCTGTCTCTCTCAGGGGGTTCACAATGGCCGTGTCGGAGACACTGATACATTACAGCTGAGAGCCTGGGTTCAAACCCTGGGTCTGGGTGTCTCTCTCTCTCTCAGGGGCTTCACAATGGCCGTGTCAGAGACACAGAGACAACACAGCTGAGAGCCTGGGTTCGAGCCCTGGGTCTGGGTGTCTCTCTCTCTCAGGGGGTTCACAACGGCCGTGTCAGAGACACTGAGAGCCTGAGTTCGAGCCCTGGGTGTGTCTCAGGGGGTTCACAATGGCCGTGTCGGAGACACTGATACAGCACAGCTGAGAACCTGGGTTCAAGCTCTGGGTCTGGGTGTCTCTCTCTCTCAGGGGGTTCACAACGGCCGTGTCAGAGACACTGAAACATCACAGCTGAGAACCTGGGTTCAAGCCCTGGGTGTGCCTCAGGGGGTTCACAACGGCCGTGTCAGAGACACCGAGTCATCGTCATGAGTCTGGCACGACCATGAAGAACCTGGCATAGCGACTATGAACCCCACAGGAGCTGTGAGCCTCTCCCTCGTGATGCAGCAGGTGGCGCTACGCCTCTGAGCTCCCACACAGGGGCGCCGCGGTGGCTAGGAGATGTTGACTACCTCGCCTGGTATGCAGGAGGTCGTAGGTTCTGTCCGGACCCTGACGTATATTTGTAGTTAGTGTATCTGTCTCTCATCATCATCATCATCATGGTGGCTAGGAGATGTTAACTACCTCGCCTGGTATGCAGGAGGTCGTGGGTTCGACCCCGGCCCAGACGCCTGCTGCTGTATATTTGGAGTCTGCGTCTCTCTCCCATCATCATCAGAGTGGCTAGGAGATGTTGACTACCTCGCCTGGTACGCAGCAGCAGGCGTCAACAGGGTCGGGATCGAACCCATGGCCTCCTGCAGACCAGGCAAGGTAGTTAACATCTCCTAGCCACCGTGATGATGATGAGATCGAGAGATAGACGGAGATAGATGATGAGAGGAGGATATGGTGAAGAGATGGAGTGAGCGAGAGAGCGAGCGACAGAGCGAGAGAGCGAGCGAGAGAGTGAGCGAGAGGTGGGGGTTTACATAAAGCAAAGTTGTTAAAAAAAATTACGAAATAATGAACGAAGCAAAGTGCCGACTACACCGAGCATCTTCTTGTTTCCACTGATCGTAAAAAAAAGATAGAGAGAGCGGTGCAGAGAGATGGAGAGAGACAGAGAGACAGGGAAAGACGGAGGGACAGAGACAGAGAGAGAGACGAGGGAGAGACAGAGAGACAGAGAGAGACAGAGAGAGACAGAGAGAGATAGAGAAAGACGGAGGGAGAGAGACAGAGAGAGAGATGAGGGAGAGAGACAGAGAGACAGAGAGAAGACGGAGAGACAGAGAGACAGAGAGAGACAGAGAGAGATGAGGGAGAGAGACAGAGAGAGATGAGGGGGAGAGAGACAGAGAGAGACAGGGAAAGACGGAGGGAGAGAGACAGAGAGAGATGAGGGGGAGAGAGACAGGGAGAGAAAGATGGGAGATGGGTCGCGTGGTGCTCAGCGCTCCGCGGGGGGTTGATGGTTCACCATCTGACAGGCTGGCTGGGGGGGGGGGGGGATTTGGGGGGGGGGGGTGAGTCGGTGGTGGGGGTTGGGGGGGCTGTCACGTGACTCCCGGCACACAGGGACCCCCCGTGGCGTCCATTAAGAATCAAAACATTACTACGGCTTAGCGTCGCGCGGAGGAGGAGGCTGATGGAGGAGGTGGGGGAGGGGGTATGCAGGAGGTGATGGTGCAGGAGGTGGTGAGGTGTCTATGAGGGGGTTCCTAATGGCTGTGTCGCAGAGCCTGAAGTCCTGGGTTGGAGCTGTGGGTCAGAGTGTGTCTCTGTGTCTCCGTGTATCTGTGTCTCTGTGTCTCTGTGTTTCTGTGTCTCTGTGTCTCTGTCTCTGTATCTGCGTCTCTGTGTGTTTTTGTGTCTCTGTGTGTTTGGTGGTTGAGAAGGTGGTGGTTGAGGAGGTGGTGTTGGCGGCGGTGGTGGCAGTGGTGATCGTGGTTGAGGTGGTGGTTGAGGTGGTGTTGGTGGCGGTGGTGGCAGTGGTGATCGTGGTTGAGGTGGTGGTTGAGGTGGTGGTTGAGGTGGTGGTTGAGGAGGTAGTGGTGGTGGTGATGGGCTCTTGAACCGCTTCCTCTGCCTTCTAACCCATCTGTCGGTCAGTCGGTAGGTCAGTCGGTCGGTCAGTTGGTCAGTTGGTCCATACGTTGGTCGGTCAATCAGTCCGTTGGTCCGTCGGTTGGTCAGTCGACCAGTCGGTCGGTCCAGTCGTTCGGTCGGTCCGTCGGTCAGTGTTGTGAGTCCGTCCGTTGTTGGGTCAGTCCGCCCGTCGTCACACCGCGGGAGCGTCGGGGCTACGACTGCTCGCGAGGGTCCCCGCTGGCGGTAATGAGCTCAGGGAGGGGGGGGGGGGGGGAAGGTGCGACTACTTCATTTGACAAACAAAAGACTTAAGAAGAAGAAGAAATAGAATCGCGCGATTAATCAGCGCTGACCTTTCCCCGCTCGCCGCTCCTTCACCACCACGGCGAGAGGCAATTAAGGCGGCGGGGTCGTGGCGATCCGTCATTGCGCAATCGTGGCCCCCCCTCTCTCTCTCACGATCCCCCCCGCCCCCCCCCCACCGCCCCCCCCCTCCCTCGGTGTCGACGTTTTTGTTCGTATCGTTTGTGGCTGAGATGACCTAGAGATGGCCTCCGAAAGCTCATCGCGAAATCAAAGTAATAATGAAGCCGCCGCCTTGGAGGTGAGCTCCAGGATCAGTGGCCAAAGTTGAGACCGGGTCTCAGGATCAGTGTCTAGAGACTTAGAGGCCGGGTCTCAGGTCTATAGACTTAGAGGCTTGGTCTCAGGTCTATAGACTTAGAGTCTTGGTCTCAGGTCTAGAGACTTAGAGACCGGGTCTTAGGTCTAGAGACTTAGAGACCGGGTCTCAGGATCAGTGTCTAGAGACTTAGAGGCCGGGTCTCAGGTCTAGAGACTTAGAGACTTGGAGACCGGGTCTCAGGATCAGTGTCTGTAGACTTAGAGACTTAGTCTCAGGTCTAGAGACTTGGAGACTTAGAGGCCGGGTCTCAGGATCAATGTCTAGAGACTTAGAGACTTAGTCTCAGGTCTATAGACTTAGAGACTTAGTCTCAGGTCTAGAGACTTTGAGACTTAGAGACCCGGGTCTCAGGATCAGTGTCTGTAGACTTAGAGGCCGGGTCTCAGGTCTAGAGACTTAGAGACTTGGTCTCAGGTCTAGAGACTTAGAGACTTAGTCTCAGATCTAGAGACTTGGAGACCAGGTCTCAAGATCAGTGCCTGTAGACTTAGAGGCCGGGTCTCAGGATCAGTGTCTAGAGACTTAGAGACCCGGGTCTCAGGTCTAGAGACTTAGAGACTTGGTCTCAGGTCTAGAGACTTGGAGACTTAGAGGCCGGGTCTCAGGATCAATGTCTAGAGACTTAGAGACTTAGTCTCAGGTCTATAGACTTAGAGACTTGGTCTCAGGTCTAGAGACTTAGAGACTTGGTCTCAGGTCTAGAGACTTAGAGACCAGGTCTCAGGTCTAGAGACTTAGAGACTTGGTCTCAGGTCTAGAGACTTAGAGACCAGGTCTCAGGTCTAGAGACTTAGAGACCCGGGTCTCAGGATCAGTGTCTGTAGACTTAGAGGCCGGGTCTCAGGTCTAGAGACTTAGAGACCAGGTCTCAGGTCTAGAGACTTAGAGACTTGGTCTCAGGATCAGTGTCTATAGACTTAGAGACTTGGTCTCAGGTCTAGAGACTTAGAGACCAGGTCTCAGGTCTAGAGACTTAGAGGCGGGGTCTCAGGATCAGTGTCTGTAGACTTAGAGACCCGGGTCTCAGGATCAGTGTCTGTAGACTTAGAGACCCGGGTCTCAGGTCTAGAGACTTAGAGACCCGGGTCTCAGGTCTAGAGACTTAGAGGCCGGGTCTCAGGTCTAGAGACTTAGAGACCAGGTCTCAGGTCTAGAGACTTAGAGACTTGGTCTCAGGTCTAGAGACTTAGAGGCCGGGTCTCAGGATCAATGTCTAGAGACTTAGAGGCTGGGTCTCAGGTCTAGAGACTTAGAGGCTGGGTCTCAGGTCTAGAGACTTAGAGACCAGGTCTCAGGTCTAAAGACTTAGAGACTTGGTCTCAGGTCTAGAGACTTAGAGACCCGGGTCTCAGGTCTAGAGACTTAGAGACTTGGTCTCAGGTCTAGAGACTTAGAGGCCGGGTCTCAGGATCAATGTCTAAAAACTTAGAGGCTGGGTCTCAGGTCTAGAGACTTAGAGACTTAGTCTCAGGTCTAGATACTTAGAGACTTGGTCTCAGGATCAGTGTCAGTAGACTTAGAGACCGGGTCTCAGGATCAGTGTCTAGAGACTTAGAGACTTAGTCTCAGGTCTAGATACTTAGAGACTTGGTCTCAGGATCAGTGTCAGTAGACTTAGAGACCGGGTCTCAGGATCAGTGTCTAGAGACTTAGAGACTTAGAGACGGGGTCTCAGGGTCGGTGTCTGTAGACGCGAGTCTGAGCCCCTCCCCCCGCCCCCCCCCGCCCCCCACCGGATCGACGTTTGTGGATCTTCGGCGCGCTCCCAGAGCCGCGTTGTTCCACGCTCGCCCCTCCATGCTGCGTTTAAGTGTTTAGTAAACAAAACAAGACAGGCGCGTCCATTAGACGCGACGGCTTCGTTCCTCTGCCTCGTCTCCCGCTCATTAACGCCCCCCCCTCTCCTCATCCCCCCCCCTCCTGCCCCATCAGCTCGTTACATCTTTTATTGCCTCTTTGGCCCAAAACCGCCCCCGCCACGGGTTTTGTCTCCCCGCGGTAATGACACGGCGCGAATTTATTTGTTTGCGTTGCTTGGTTATTATTTCGTTTCTCTTCCTCCTCCTCACTCCCTCTCCTCCTCCCCTCCCTCCCCTCTTTTTACGATCGGAAGAAACAGAAAGATGGTCGGTTTTTCGGCACTTGGCGTCGTTCATCATCGTCGGTTTTTTGTTGTTGCTTTTGCGCCCCTTTTTTAAATCAAAGACATCACCATGGGTTTTCCCTCGTAACGTAAATCCCGTCGTGTGCCACTGTGTTCATAGACAGCAACAAGGGAAATTCACCCTCAAAAACCCATCACCAGATCCACACGCATCCGTCGCATTACACAAAGCACCCTCGGTAGTCCAACGCGTCAAGAAAGATGCGACACCCCGCGACAACTGAGCGAAATTCCAGCCAAATTCTGGCAGAAACCAGCGTCTTGAAGATGCGGCAGTGGCTGGATAAGCCGCTTCCTTCAATTGCGCATTTCCTGGCCCTAAAGATGTTCAGTTTGGCGTTGTTCATGATGAAGTTCGTCAACGCCTCTACATCTTTGGTACCCTCGTTCCCCCCCTATATCCAAAAATAAGAATCGTGGGCGAGAAATGAAGATTAGATTTTAGTTGGATATTTCGTAGCGGCTTATAGAGCGTGTCCAGGCTTTTGCAGGGTGTACGTATGGATGCGCCGCTGTTTCGAGCTCGCCACAGAATACGCATTCTGCATTTGTCATTTGGAAAAGCGCCAGAAATGTGTTTCGTGGTCACAGTCCCGTGGGCAATGCTCCAGCTCAGATCATCATGACGCGCTTGTACAATGGATTGGAGCCAATCAGCTCCCAATGATCACTGCAGGGCATCATGTCCCTCCAAGCGGAGCCTCTGCGTGACGTTATTATTTGTTGATGGTGGAATTTGACCATTTGGGCGTACAGCTTTCTCCCGTCTGTATCTGGGAAGCACCCCTCCTGGTCATCTCCTGAGGTGTGCCCCCGGTGCTGCTGTGAGGAAGAGAGTTGAGTGTGCTTCCGTGCTCAAAGTTCATGTATTAGGTGTAGCCCTGTGAGCCATTCGGCTCTTGAATCGGGTGCAACCGCAACAAACTAAAAACTAAAAACATGAACAAGAAAACATCTTAAAGTGACTATGCGACTGAGTGCAAACAGAAAATCCAAGAAAAGACAGCAAAATATTGCAGAAAAAAATCACCGTACACCAACCCTGTGCAAATATCCCAGTGGGATGCAAGTACAACAACAACAAGACAACTTAGATTAAGGCCATCAGTCTAACTCTACTACAACAAACAAACATGGCCAAACCAAAAAACGTTTCGAAAATCACCAAAATAAAGCCATAAAAGCAATGAAACAGTGCAGGTCATAGGAACTGTGACTGAATTTTCACAATAAACAACATAAACAACATGTGCCACCAAACTCTGCTGGGACTACGTTCAGTGTTGGTGGCACTGGGCCACCGCCGGCTGACTCGTCACCAGCACTCACAGC